GCTCGCGGACGATGCAAGACTACGTGGAGTCGATGAATCGATCTCAAGTGTTTTATCTCAAAGGCATCAGACCTTCCGATTACAGAATTCGAGTGTATCGTATATGTACTTATTTTTTGTCGGGATTCAGTAGTAAGATATTAAGTCAAGCATAATAATCAATAACATATAATTGGTTGCCTAAAAAGTTTTACATGCACTTTCGGCCCAATTTAGGTGCGTAAATCCAGTCATTAATTGTTTAAAATGTAAAGTTTCTTGTATACTATATTATTATAATCCTTAATTATTAGTTATTTTTTATACAAGACGATAAAATGGTATTTTATCGTCGACCGAAAAGATTAATTCACGAGCGATGAAATCGCGATAATGAATTAATTTCGGGAGACGATAATGCAATTTTATCGTCGTGTATGAAAAAATATGTTTTTCCATAGCGAGTTACGTTTTAAAAAATATTCAGAAATTATTATTTCAAGGAATTTATTACGAGTAGAAAAAATATTGTACTGGGTTGACATTGGTTTCTATGTAATTTGACAAATAAATAAAGCTGTCTCTTTAGTTGTCAGTTTTGAGTCAATATTTTTTAATTTTCTTTCGTGTCTATTGCTGATTGAATTGAAGCCAGAAATGGCTCAAAACGAAATAAGTAAATTACCAACAGATATTGAGGCTGAGGCGACAAACGCCATATCCCAACTACTTCCATTTAAATCCCGAATAACTTATGAAACAGAATACAAAAATTTTCAAAAATGGAAACAATTAAAAAATGTGCCAGAAGAAATAAAGTTTTTAACCTATCCTGCTGTTAAAGTATCATTTAATCTACCCTTGCAGTTAAAGTACTATTTTATCTACTATTTTTGATAGATTATAAGGCAATTTTAACAGTAAAATACCAGACAAAGATCATCAGGTAGATTTGACAAAATTTTACTGTTGAAAGAGATAATGATATAAATAAAAATTGTTAAAATATAGATCTTCCTTAAGTACCGTTTCCTAACGGAGGTTGGCTATCATCATGGCTATTTTGATTTTATTTGCGGCTGCTCTAAATAATCCATTCGACGTCATTCCATACCATTCTCTGACGTTCTTCAGCCAGGATGTTCGTCTTCTGTCCCGACTACGCGATCTTTGGATTTTTCCTTCCGTAATATTCTGGAGTAATTGGTATTTAGGACCTCTTATAACATGTGCAAAATATTCTAATTTTTTCCTCTTAATAAGGGTTTTATGTATTTCTTCTTCCTTGTTCATACGTCGTAACACCTCGATATTTTTTGTAACTCTATCGACCCAACATCCACCAGTTTGTTAATTTCGGTTGATTTAAGGCTTCGGCACCATACAATAAGGTCGAAAACACGTAGCATCGGAGCATTCTTATTCTTAAATCTAAGTTTATATCTCTACTGCAAAAAAATTTCTTTAGTTTTAAAAAAGAATTTCTGGCTATCTCAATCCTGGACTTTATTTCTTGCAATTGTTTGGCAGTTTCATTTATTATTGTGCCCAAGTACTTATTTGTAGTGTGTAACAGGGGGAAATTTTGAGGGTCGGTTTGATGAAGTAAAAGGCGATAGTTTAAGTTCCTCGTGTATTTCTCTCTCTCTTTTGTAACTCTTTGCTATAATGGCTAGAAAATTATATAAATGATTTGCTGATCTTAAATATTATGGATAAATCTTACCTAGCACCAGGTTAATTTATACAAAATATAATAACTAATAAGATGTATGGTGAAATTTTAAACCACAGGCTGCCGCCGTCATTTGCAAAAGTTAAGAATAAATATAGAAATAAATTTACTTAAATCGTAGATATTTTTTATCCGCATACCAGATTTACTTAATAAAATGGGTATAAACGGCGACATCTACAAGACGTCTGTTTGAACGCATTGAATGTTAATAAGGTTTACTACATTTACACTAAAATGTTCCCCTGTAGTTCAGCAATTTAACAACAAATAATCGATAACCTAATATATTTTGTTTGAAGTGTTGGACTTTTTCTATTGGCGTGGTGTCTATTGATATTGAAATATTTATATATTTTGGTCTTTTGTAATAATCATAAATTTTGTTTTCTTCAAATTCTTATTTAGCCCATATTGTTTGCAGGATACATTTATACTTTGAAGTAGGTACAGAAAATACAGATACAGATAGTGTTTTAAAAGCAAACGTAGCAGCTGACGACGCCATAAATACTACCCTGTATAAGATAATGTAAATGTTCCTTCTCGAGATTATTTTATTATTCTTAATGTTTAACAAAATATAGCTCAGTATGAATAAAGTTGAATTCACTCTAGTTTTTAACCACTTTTCGGATATAGTGTTTTTAACCAATGTTTCAGTAAATATGAAATAGAGTGGCAATATATACATAGCGCTGGAAATAAAAATAGCATACTATATGCAGAATTTTATTCTAAATCCAAATCTGTACATAAAAAAGGGGGGCAATATAATAGATATTTACGATAGAAGTGAGTTAACAGCATCATTAAGATACGCGTGTGAAAGTTGCACGACGAGTGCGAGTACGAATTGTGTAACCACACAAGTATCTTAATGGAGTTAACTCGCGTGTATTGTACAGGGTGTCCCATTTTAGTTGAAATCATACGGTATCTCCGTTGTTAGTGAATATAGAAGGGTGCGGTTTGCACAAACCTGTGCCTCTTTTTTGTCAAACGGAAGATGCTGTCAACAAAATTTTCATAGCTCTCTTCGTTTCTGAGCTACAGGGTCTTTTCGAAAATTTTGCAATTTGGGACAGTATCTGCATTATTAGCAATTGAGACAGTATCTGCATTATTATGGATGATATCGAGAAGGTGAAAACTGATTCTTGTAGAACTTTTTACGGAGAATGCAGTGGCGTAGTCTGTTTTTCTACGAAAAAAATATTTTTGAAAATATGAACTAAAGTTATGTTTTTTCAAATGGAACACTCTGTATATTTATAAATCATATGATCCGCCTTGCTATGTGCTTCTCAAATATATATATATATATATATATATATATATATATATATATATATATATATATATATATATATATATATATATATATATATATATCACTCTATATTTATTTTCACTATTTACTGCAATATTTAAAATATATCATTTTCTTATTAGTAGGCCGTGATAAATAACAAAATCAAAATGGTATTTACTAAAATAGACATACACATAAAAAAATTTATTTGGGATTGACATATTTTATTTTTGAACTGTTACCACTGAACCTCTGAATATATTTTTCTCTTTTTTATAACGGAATTTATTATAATGGGATTGGTTTGCAAATATCTAAAAGCTTGCATTATTACACCATTTTCCAGGTGTTCGACATCGTATTAATTGCCACGATATATTTTATATTTCAAAAATTCCCAAAATCAGAAATCGAGAACGGACAAATCCGGGACTCAGGGAGGCCATCATATGGGTACATTGGTTCCAATTGATTGATTTGAGAAATAATGATTTAACAAGATTCTAATATTTTCGTTGTAAGTTAAGTTGTGAGGGGAGCCCCATCTTGCTGAAAGTATATTTCACGTAAATTAGCTAAAGAAATATTTAAAAGTTCCGATAGGATCACTTCCAAGATTTACAAATAGCGGTAGAGATTTAAGTTTCCCTAATATACAAAGAATTAATTAGTGGCTCTCAAAATAAAACAAGAGACAGATAGCAGTATTACTTTTAATAATTCTTTAGTTTCTTTTATTATCAATCATGGCCTACTAATAAATATGATCTTTTAATATACTTTTTTAAATATTGCATTAAATAATAAAAATAAATATAGAGTGTTATATATTTTTGAGAATCTTATGGTAAGCCAGATCATATAATTTATAAATATACAGGGTGTTCCATTTAAGAAAACATAACTTTAGTTTATATCTCTAAAAATATTCTTTTCGTAGAACAACAGACTACGTCACTGTATTCTACGTAAAAAGTTCTACAATAAACAGCTTTCACCTTCTCGATAGCTTTAACAATAACAGATATACGGGAGGTGTCCCAAATTGCAAAATTTTCAAAAAGACAAACCTTTTCCTTTAAAATAGCTCAGAAACGAAGAGAGTTATGAAAATTTTGTTTACGGCATCTTCCGTTTGACAAAAAAGTGGCACAGGTTTGTGCAAATCGCACCCTTCTATCTTGACGAATAAGGAAGATACCGTATGATTTCAACTAAAATGGGACACCCTGTACAATATTTTATCTACGTCTACGTCTAACTACACGCAATGAATTCTAAAAATTATTGTACTTAACTATATACCTATCCTAAAAATCAATTACCTTAATACCTTTGATCAAATAACACCATGCATGGCAATGTCAATATGACAGTAAATAATATTGATATCACTAGTTTAAAAAATGAGCGATTCGGAGGAAAATATTCCCTCTGACATTGAAGAAGAGGCATTCAGAGCCATTTCTGGATTGCTTCTAGCAAGATCGAAACAGAAGTATGAATATACTTATACATACATAATCTAAATATGAAAAATGGTGCACCGAAAAAAAGTACACAACTATGGAAATGAAAAGGTACTCATAACATATTTTTCCAATTTAGTGCAAAATAAATGTTTTACAAAATATGTTTTTTTCTTTGGTAGTCATCTAAACAAGGGGTGCGGTAATGGAAATGCGTGAGTCACGCATTTTGAGTGAGTTAAGAGCTTCTTAATTCACTGACGTAGATAAAAAAAACTTAAAACAATCCTAGCTTTTTTGCAATATATTTTTACGGTATGCTCCTCTACAAACCATGCAGTAACTGTATAAAACTTTTTTTCATATCTTCGGCAACGACGACGATATTGGATTAAGATCCTCGCACTAATGAGCCACCCTGTACATATATTATGTATTAAATATAAACTAACGATATAGCACTATGGTATTTTTTGTTCTTAATAGTTCAAATTAATTTCAGATTAACAATCCAGCGAATCGTCCGCCTTCAGCACCATTACTCGACATAGTCGATACCAACCAAATCCAGAAACCTCCCTGGGCTACCAATACCAACAACACTGCCGCCATACGACCCAATAACATCATGCCCTCGCAACAGAATGTTACTAGAACATTGAGTATGCCCCAATTGAAAGACGCACTCAAAAATGACCAGAATTTTGATAAACCACCAGTATTACCAGGTAATAAAGAAAATTTTAAAGTTTACTTATTAAACTGATGCAAGTCTCGTAGTATTATTTTTCTGAAATAAGGATTTAATATTAATAATACAGGGTGGTCTAGTGTTCCGAAAAGGCTCCATATATAATATTATATTTAATAGTTTCACTTACTTTCAATCTTTTTTGTAAAATATGGGAGCAATACCGGGTGCGTCTCAAAAGTGGCTCACCCCTATAACTTTTTATTTTTTTCAGAAAAAAAAAAAGATGTGATATGTTAGTATATGACATAAATTAGAATTGATTGACGTATTCAATTGTTTTTCGTCACTTCCTGTTTCACCGGAAATTACTACAACTTTCGATTTTTAAATGGCACCCTCGGTATTTTTTTTTAATTTATTCGATAGAAAATGACATTCTGAATAGAATGGCATGTCATATGTCAACATTTGACATTCTGGCTTAATAAAAAATCGTATTTTAAATTTCAATCTAATCCATGGCTATGTTAAAAACACTAATTCTTAATCAAGGAGCCAACTGGCCCATGGGCGCCGGACAGGGGGACAAGAGGGGGTATTTGCCACCCCCCCCCCTAGATCACCGAAACAATAAAAATAAAAGCTATCTTCTTACATCCATCTCTGTAAAAAAATAATCATTATTATGAAATTTTTAGGTGTTACCTGTAAAATAATAAAAAATGTGGTAATTATTGGGAAAACTGGAAATCGTCCGATTTTCACCAAAATTGGTATGCACACTATTTTGAGGTCGTAGATTACGAATCTACTTTTTTCTTGGCGGTCTCTTACCGTTTTTCAGAAAAACGGAAAATTATTTCAACATTGAATTTTTCTTTATTTCGGCCCTATAAAGTAATAATTTCACTATATTTTCATTATATTAAAGTTTATCTAAACGCCACACTTGATTGGGGATAGAAAAATGTCCAACATTTTACTGAAAAACACTTTTCTTAACAAAATAGCAAAGAAAATTGAGATGGAAGTTTGACATTTCATATATCCTTCTTTCTCTCTCCTATGTAATAAGAGAGACAAATATATTCTAGACCTAATCTAGAAATTTGAAAATTTACAACGTTGCCATATCTTCTATTTTTTCGGGTGATTAGGGATTTTAAATAAATTACCTATTATGAGATCAACAATAATTAAATATACACCAATATCCACAAAATTACGCGGAAAAGTTTTGATTGCATTGGTTTTAACTTCTTTGCGGAGGAGGTTAATCTTTTCTTAGTTAATCTAATAATATAACAACAAAAGATTAACACCCTCTGCATGGAAGTTGTAACCAATGCAATCAAAACTTTTTCGTGCAACTTCGTGGGTATAAATAGTCAGATCTCGTTGGTAAAATAGCAGTTATGGGAAGGAGCCGTTCTTCTGGCGACCGCCTTTCGTAATTCCAGAATGAGCGAAAAAAACACGCTAAATTTAGGTTTAACATTGGCAACGTTGCTTTAAATGCCAGAAAGACATAAACTTACTTCGGGTTTCTCTTATTACCGATTCTGAACCGTCCTAGAACTGTGATGTGTATGCGCAGAAGGAAATATGAAGACATTACTTCATTTGCGCATGCGCTGCAGAGTTCTTGGACGGTTCAGAATCGGTAATAACAAGAACCCGAACAAAGCCATAATCTAACATTTTCAGATTGTTTACAAATTTATTTTAACAAATTTTCCTCTATTATGCATAGAATTGGTTAAAAAAGTAACAGAAAAGAGCAAAAACATTATTGATTATTGAATACCTAACAAAATATGTGCTAGAAAACCTTAAACATATGAGAAATTAAGAAAAATTCGATATTGAAATTATTTTCCGTTTTTCTCAAAAACGGTAAGAGACCGCCAAGAAAAAAGATTCGTAACGTTCAAATTCGTAATCTACGACTTCAAAATAGGGTGTATACCAATTTTGGTGAAAATCGGACGATTTCCAGTTTTCCCAATAATTACCAAAAAAGGTGTTTCAATTTTTATTCATTTTTTACATTGCCCCCCCTAATTCCATTATAATCTATTTTAGACAAAAAGTTTTCAGATAAAAGTTGTAGATAATCACATCCTTAATGAGATTGTGTTCGCCGTTTTTTTTTTCTAAAGCCTGTCATTTTTTACATATGATACAGACATATGTTTTTTTTTAAATGGAAACCATAGTTGGCCATATATGACTTCATATAAAGCGTAATTTTTTAAGCTTTTCAGCGATAGAAGCTAAAATATGTTTTTTTTGAAATACGATTTATTGTAAATGATAAATATGAACTTATGCGCATTTAACGGTTATAGAAAAATCAACACCTAGTTTTGTCTCACTTTAGTAATACAAGGGTAATACCTTTGTCTATGTATAAGGGCAATACCATATACTCGTCCAATATAAGATATTTAAATCTGATTAACAATATAACAATAGAATAGGTACCTACGGACCCTACGGTACCTAACTATATATACTTTCAGTTACGAAAAAATATAGTATTTGAGATTTAATAATTTTGGAAGAAATTTAAATAATATGCCAAAAAATCTTATATATCTACAGTACCAAAAGCACCACTGTATGGTCCTCCCAAACCACCTCGTACCGCCATAGGCATGGAAAGGACCACCACAAATGCGCCAGGAAATCTCGACAGGGCAGAAATCAGAACAGCGCTGGCCAATTGGCAAATGGGATTACTAACTAATCAGGATCAAGGAAACAAAGAGGGGAAGCGGGTGTCGAATGGCACAACACAGGTAAAAGCAACGTTATATAACTGCATAGCAGACATTTTTTTGTCAATAGGTATGGCTATATTTTATCTCGTTATAAATTATCCAACTAAAATCACAATAAAACTACTGTATCATCGAGAAAACAGCGTCAAGTTGACTTGGAAATGGCAATCGCTGACATTCACCATATAATTTTACATACAGGATGTTTCAAAAAACATGTGCCATCTCTCGTGGGAAGATTCCTCACGTAAAAATAAGATTTATTTTTCATATATGAACTTAGGTCCGATTCTGCTTTGTTTCGTAGCTACAGGGTGTTAAAGTCTTAATAATCTTTCGATTTATTATAATTTTCTTCCAAGTACTTTTAGTGATTCGAATAAAATTTTCAGGGTAAAAGTTAGTATAAGTGCTGCATATTTTAATGCTAAAAAAGTGTCGATAAATTCATCAGGGACGTGCATATGGATTATCACTGGAATATTTAAAAAAAATATATGTGCGCTACTGACTTTTTTTCTTTTGATATCAAAATTGTGTAGTCCGTTTAATGCCATTTAAAAGTTATCTTAGATTACAGTTGAGGGTAACCTTTGGTGTTACACAGCAAAATAATACACTAAATCACTACAATACACCAAAACACTTTTACTTTTACACTGGACGCGCGTTTCGCTAACCATGTTAGCATCATCACAGATGATTATGATATCAGTAACCAGATGTCACAGATGATTCTGATATCTCATCACTTGATGAGACAAATGACTTATTTGGATCCAGGCAAATTAAATAATAAAATTGCGTTTATCTCACCAAGGAGGCCGAAATCGACAAAATATCAAGAGAGAACTTTTAATCGGCATTAAACTGCTTCCACTATTTCGCTAACAGGAAAAAAAGTCAGTGACATACATGCTTTTTTTAGAAAAATATTCCAGTGATAACCCATATGCACGTCCCTGGTGAATATGTTGTCACTTTTTTAGCTTTAAAATGAGTCGCATTTATAATAACTTTTACCCTCAAAATTTCATTTGAAACGCGAAAAGTACTTGGAAGAAAATTATAAGAAATCGAAAAAATATTAAGACTTTAACACCCTGTACCTACGAAACAAAGCAGAATCGGACCTAAGTTCATATATGAAAAATAAATCTTATTTTTACGTGAGGAATCTTCCCACGAGAGATGGCACATGTTTTTTGAAACACCCTGTGTAAAGAACTGCAATCTTATTCGTTCGCCATTTTTTTTCAAAACTGTATTTTTACTATAGGCATCTGACAATTTTCGGTACCTGGTATAGTTTATCTGACGTCAGTTGGAATAGATTGGGGCTCTTAATTTCGTTACTGTCTTTGTCACTACTTCCAATTGACTTCGGAAATACATTTTTACATATTTCTATAATTCAACTTCTTATAAAAAGTTATAATAGCTAGAATAAGACATAATCTTTAATATAGGAAATTATCACAAAAAACTATTTAAAATTCAGGAACTCTTTTCTAGGGTTACCAAGGTATACTAAGAACCGGAAGAAGCTTGGGGGATGGTAAGGCAGCTGTGCAACCGGAAGTAACGCAACCGGTCCCTCACCAAACCCAAGGAATTTACCAAAAAAAGCCAAATGCGAGAAGGAGAGAACCAAGAAGGCATACGCTACAGAATGGAATCGATTACAACATGCTGAAAAGGATGAAACAAATAGAACAAGAAAAAGAGGTCAGTATAAAACATATAATTATTGTTTGTTTGAAGATGTAGACAATGTTCATTTTAATTTTCTAATTTATACAATATCATGTAGATATAAAAACTAAACATTCCAAGCTACACAATTTGCAAAAAATAGGCATCCTGCCAAAGCGTAGATTTGCTTCTATCTTCTATTCTTAGATCTTGCTTTGGATTTTTTTACAAATTTATTTTATTTTATAAAAATGCGTTTGTTATTTATTCAGTATTTGGTTTGCTGGAAATAATATTGTTCTGAATAAAAACAGACCCGGTAAAATGTTATATCTGGACATAACAGTTCTTACGTCTTACCTCTTCAGTCAAAACATATCAAGTAAAACATTTTGTGTGGACCAAAAAATGGACATTTTACTTGAACTCAACTAAGACGGAAAAAACTGACATGACTGCAGTTTTCTAAAAGGTTTTCCGTTTTATCTGACAAGCAAAACGCAAGGTAATGTCTGGACGGGACGGGCGACTGTTAAAGAACAGTATACCATCATTACAGTTGAAGGTTGAAACCTTTGGTGTTGCACAGCAAAATAAAACACTAAATCACCACAATACACCAAAACACTTTTACTTTTACACTGGACGCACGTTTCGCTAACCATGTTAGCATCTTCAGCAGATTAACTGAAAAAATGAATTATAAACTGAAAATGAGTTTATAATCATCTGCTGATGATGCTAACATGGTTAGCGAAACGCGCGTCCAGTGTAAAAGTAAAAGTGTTTTGGTGTTTTGTGGTGATCTAGTGTTTTATTTTGCAGTATACCATCAACAAAAATAAGAAATGTAGAATATAGAATGAGTGGACATTAGAGATCTATTGTGTTCCCTTGAGTTATAACTGATCATACAGTCTATAACTCATCATACATGGGGATTTTCCTGTTGTAGGGGGGCCAAAGTATTTCCCATCCTCCTCTAACAACAGATGTTCTTCCTCCGAGGGTATAAACCCTTCCACGGTTGAGATTTGGCCCTCCGTGACCTTCACAGTCGAGGAGATTGTATCCGACTGAGGTACCTGTGAGGAGGGTGTTGAAGGATCTCTCTCCATTTTCTCCACCTCTTTAACTTGGTCTCTCCTTAGACCTGATACCGGTGTTGTCCCGAATCTATAATAGAGAATATATCCTGCTTTCTCTCTTGCCCCCTTGGGTTTGAGGTCAATTACTATTGTGAGGACCTGACCATAACCCTCCTCACTCGAATTGATGACTCGCCAACTTGGTGTCCTTACATTGGATTTCTGAGCGTAGATAGGCTCAGCAGGTAGGTGGTGTCTTTTCCCTTGCTCCCCGGCAGAAAAACCGTGATGGTCGCCCCCTTTGGGATGTTTTCTCCCTTCACTGCCACAAGTGGCGGCCCCTGCCAATTTTTAGTTTAGGTGCCATTTCCACCAACCAATCCGCCGATTCTTTAGATACACAATCTATGAGGAGCATATGCCCACCCGAAAGTGTATCCCTCAAAACGACCCACATTTTGTGGATCGTTGCGTTACAATCCGTTCGCTACTACTTCGTCCTGTATCGCCTCTTCTAGATCCATTTGCTGGTCGGTGGCCAGGTAATCCTTTGACAGCACCGTCATTTTTACTTGTTCAGCAATAGCAGCAAAGCTGGTCACCAGCTGCTGGTCCCTACTAGCTTCTCGGTGTTGGACCGCTTTCCACCCTGGCTTTTTTCTCCCCTTGTCGGAGCAGAGGTGACAGGTTCTCACTCCCTTTCAAATAAATAGATATATAGACTTTAAAATCAAGGATAGCAGACCGCATTTGGTGTAATCGACACAAAAAAATCAATGGTCAGTTAGAAGCCAGGGTCCTCTAAAGGGAAATAAAAGCGCATTAGAATAACAAAAAAAATACATGTATTTATTAAGAAAAATTATACGTATTTTCAACCAACCAAAACTATGAAGTGCCAACTGCTTAAAAAACTTTTGCATAATTTTTAAAAATAGCTTATCGAAATGTTGATTTAGGTACTAATGACTGGACTAACTGCAGTTGAAAAAGCTCGTGATTGGTACCTAAAGCAAGTAGCGGCAGTTCAAGAAAAGATGAAATATTTAGGACGAATGGGTCACGTGGTAAGTTCACATCACATAATCACATTATCAATGTCATAATCAAAGTGGCCATTTGAAATATGACTCATTAATTTTTTTAAGGCTGACTCTGACGACTCGTGAACTTGTACAAACATTTGTTATTGGCTTATACTTGCCATGTCGTGTGAACGATTTACTTGTGCAATTATTTGTCACTCGTAGCGCCGCGTGAGCGCCAAACCTGTTGCAAAAAAAATGTTGTTTACAAAGATAGTATACTTGCGAAGTACGCAAATATTGGCGTACTTGCCAAGTACACGAGTCGTGAGAATCCGCCTTAACATTGATACCTCCCTCAACATAGAAAAACTGCAAATCATTGATGTGTTTTACCTGAAAATAGAAATGAACGAAAATATTTTATTATATCGTGTGCTTTGTCTGATGAGAGATAAACAATTCTTCTGAAAAATGACATAAGACATACATTGTAATTTGACTCTTAATGTCAAACCCGCCGCTTTTGGACATAAAACTTTTTGACCATACGGTATTTTATAAGTGCAGGTCTTCTTCAAAGCTAAACATACTAAATTGGCTATGCTCAAAAGTATCAATATATGATTATGTATTTTTTAATTTTGAAGAACATTTCAATCTGCAGAAAAATTTAGTTTAAAAATAATTTTACTTCGAAAACCATTCGGTGCAAATTACAGCATAATAATATTTTTAAAACTTAATTACATTGATAAATCAATTAATTAAAGAAATAATTTTTTAAGGCTTATATCGTAGCATTCCATTAAAAAAACAATTTTTGTCGAGGTCCATTTCTAGACGTCATTTATTAAAATTTGACATAAAACTTCAAAAATCAGCACTAATTATAGAAAGATTAAAAAAAGGATAGAATGGTTCCAGACCCACAAATCTTTTTATTTCAAAAAAAGTTTTTTCTCAAATTTTTGAACTACACCATTTAAAAATCATTTTTACTCATTATAAAAATAAACTACAACCACAGATTAGGTATCCTATAAGTATACAGATAAAAATCTTGTCCCTAATTCGTGGTACGAAAATTGTTTTTTATGACGATGTGCAAACGAGTAAAATTTCCTGTGCGCAAAAATAAACTCGCGTAAAATAACAATCACAGATAACAATAAACAGCGTAATAGAGAGATATCGTTAAACCGATTAGCGTGCATGGACGTTAATAAGGCCAGGTGTTATTTCCTTTACGTGAGGTGGTATTAACCAAAAATATTACAACCAAACCAAACCGAGTTTAAATATCTTTGGTATATAGTCCGCTATTAAAACTTAACCTAACTTTGAATTTAAAACTTTGAAATTGTTTTGTTTACTAGGTATTTTAAAACTAAAGGGCTAAAGTGCTTATTTCCAGTGCTTTCTTGTTCAACGTCTGCTAGTGGGTTTAGGGCAACAAGCAACCAATTCTCTTAGAAGGGCTAATAAGTCGTCATCTGCTGTAAACCTAAGCCTCTTTATAGGTTCTTTAATATTGGAAGAGGTAGAATCCATATTTTGGGCCATATTTATTTAATTAAAACTAATCCCAGCTACTTAAATATAAAATTACCTAATAAAACTAAAGTAATAAGTCAAAACAATTCAAACATAACCTAAAATAAAAGATCTCGCCGGCCGGCCCCGGTTATCAAATACCCGCACGTGCCCATTTAAGCAATTTTTAAACGTCATTTAGAAATAGCGCTTGGTGTAATTGATCCGCAAATTACGTCAGGCGATAAAGGTGCGTATTCACTATCCGAACGAACGAACGAATGTTCATTCATTCATTCGGTAGTAGTATGTACGGAACCGGATTTTAGAACCAAACGAAAACACCTTAACCCATTCGTTTGCGAACGCCTTTGATGTACCGACTCGAAACGGATGGCCGAGCGAACGAACAAACGAACGACCGCATGCGTTCGGTCCACCGTCCAAATATACCGAATTCCATTCGTTCGCTCGCTCGTTCGTTCGTTCGTTCGGATAATGAATACGCACCTTAACGTTATTAGCGGGTGTTGCGTTAAAAATTGACTCGCGCATATCGTAACCATGATAAGGTACGCGTAAATACTGCATGACGCTATTCGGTTTTCCGATATCTCTCTAATAACTGTGCCGGTCAGGCGCTGTGCACAATTTTAGAGGCCATAAGCGGGCAAACTAGTAACCTAACTAGTGCCCGATTCCGAAAATTGGAACCACGAAAAACAATAAAGAAAAAAACAAACCAAACAAAGTTTATAATCTGTTTAATCTGTGCTACAACCTTCTTAAGGCCAACTGGCAGTAACCGCGATTAAATAATTAAAAATAGTACGGACCAAGCGAATGACATCTAAGGCTTGACCTTGTCAAAATTATTATCGATTGTCATTCCCTAGCCGACTTTGACGCTTTTTTTCGATCGTATGATATCATCATATAATAACTTTTTATAACATTGTCATTAAAGATTAATTTACCATTTATTATAAATTATTGCTTTAAAAAATACATAATCTCTTAATATTTTTATCTAGGTATGTATCTTAAATCACTCGGCCTCCATATACTATATAAAACAGTATATTGCATAAATTCTTCATACATACCACATAAGAACACCTATAAGCTAAGGTGTGTCGTCTAAACCTTAACTATACTCATACATGGCTGTGATGGCTATCGTACAAGCGGTAGGCCGAATTGTATTTATTATATACGGCCTCTGACATTTTGCGTCGAATCGCAGTCATAGTTAAAATATGAAAGTCTCGCGTCTCCTAAGAAATAAGTATATTTTACCTACTGACCTACTTTGCTGGGTTGATATAATCTTTTATTGTTGCTGGTTTCCACGTCTATTTCAAACGCTTTTTTCATTAAGACGATTAAAACTCCGTTTTTAATAGATTTGAAATCAAAACGTAAAGAACCAGTATACAGGGTGACCAAAAATTTCCGAAAAAGCTCTCAGTATATTCCATTTTTTTTTTCATATCGATCTAATGTGTCTTCGAATTATAAGTTGGCCTTTTTTTAACAAAAAAATAATTAGACCAATTAGATGAAATTAAATATCATCCTCATTATTATTATACAGAACTTTGTATCCAAAATTTCGAAAAATAAATTGAATTTGATGACATTTTAAACAAAAACAAAAAGTACTTAAAGTAGATCGCTATGAGTAACTTGTTTTGTGCATAGAGTATAAAATAATAAATGTAAATGCATATATAAACGGGATTTTTTTTTTTGTTATGAGTTAAATTTAAATAAATTTGTTACAGTTATCCGCCTTGTCTATAAATAAAATGCTTTCCCAAACCATACAGATTTGGTTCTCATACATTTCTGGTTTGTTAGTAACGTTATTGTTCTTGATAGCGCAAGAAACTATTTAAAATTATTGTTACGTTATGGCATTGTAATGTTTATTTGTGTTCTAAAGCAAAAACAATTTGTATAATTGCAAATAGGCGCGTTTGAGAATTGCAATAATAACTATGTTAACAATGGTTTTCTGTTTAAATATCTCGCCTATATCAACTTTAACATTGTTGTTGTATAAAGTTAAAATATTTCGTACATCTGCATAATAAGTTGGATAGGAGAACCTAGGTACCCACCTAAGTTCAAGAAGTAGAGAACAGGAAAATTCGCAGTTTATATTTCATAAATGAATTTATATCGCATGACTAATACCAATGAATACCTATAATTTTTTAAATCTAAAATTCTTGAAAAAAATAGGTAATGAAGACTAATAAATAAAGTACCTAAACTTTTTCTTATTAATTGCTATACTATATCAAGATATTTCCATCAAGTCAGGGAAGATTTCGACAGACGACATCCAAAAAATGATAGAAAATACAATTTTCCTGTAAATTAAAATGACAGACGTAACTGTCACTGTCATGGATCTTCGATCTTCTCGTTGGAGAGACTATCTATAGGTATACCATCATATGCACTTAAAAAGTTATGAAATTTTCGCACTATATCATTAAGTTATTCTTGTTAAATCATTATGTAAGTAAAAATTATTAGTCCATATAGTTTTTTTTCTTTCTCGGGTATGAGGTTATACACATATAGTGATGGGATCACTCGAGCGAAATTTCGCTCGAGTACTCGATTATTTAAATAACCGAACGAGCGATGCAAGTGACGAGTACCAAGCGACGAAAGCAAGCGATCCTAGAATGAAATTAATTGAAATCCGATTTTAATGTGACATACTCGATAAAAAGCCGAGCGAATTTTCTACATACATTGCAGATAGCAAATTTATACGACGCCGTATATATATTTATCCGTTGCGAATCTGAGAGACAAAATTTTACGACCTACATCGACAATGCTTTGAAATAAACTAAATCAAATCATGCGAATCGCTTCCTACTTGCCATTCATCTCCGATGGAATATGTGCCCTCCGCACGCAACTTACTTCTTGGCGCTTGGCGTTAACGAGTACTTACAACAAGCGACGGGTGAAAAACCGTATTTTTAAATACGAGTGATATTTCGCTCGAGCGATCACTCGGTTATTGCAATCGCTTGAAACTCGAGTACTCGATTATTGAAATTAATCGGTTTTTCCCATCACTAGTTATATAATTGAAAGATGGTTAGATGGTTAGTTTGGTTTTACAATACAGACGGGTGCTAGGAAGACGACTTTTTAGAATAAAGTGCCTGAAAAAGCCCACTATGTTAGAGCCAAACGTCGCATAAAAAAAGTTTTCCATCTTTCAATTATTTAACCTCATACCCAAGAAAGAAAAAAAAAACTATATGGATATAAACTAATGGTTAAAGAAAAAAGAAACAATTAAACTTATTAGTTTGACTATAGCTTGGTGCATTCTCTGCTGGGTGCTGCCATCATCGGGGAATACCGTAAACACACTTAAACAAATACACGGGTTTAAACCGCGAGTACACGCAAAATTATTTAAAAAAAGTGTATAAGTACAATTTCTGAAAATTCTTTTGATGCCTCCAGAAGGTCTAACATGTATTATAATTGAAAAATGGAAATACGAAAGGGGGTAAGTGCCAAAATTATTTTTTCGAGATAAATGAGAAAAATAGTAGAACTGAAAAGAATAAATTTTTAAAATATCTTTTAAAATACGTATACCGGGTGCGTCTCAAAAGTGGCTCACCCCTAAAACTTTTTAATTTTTTCAGATAAAAAATCGAGATTTGGTATATTAATATATGACATAAATTACGATTGATTGACGTATTCACTTGTTTTCTGTGACTTCTTGTTTTACCGGAAATAACTACAACTTTTGATTTTAAAATGATACCCTCGGTGTATTGTTGCTTTATTCGATAGATAATGACACTCTGAATAGAATGACATATTATATGTCAATTTTTAACATTTTCGAATATGGTTTATTTGAAATTGCAACATGCGATTCATAACGACAATTTGACTCGAAGCACCAAGTGTGTGGTGCCAAATTATTCGTAACAAATGCTTTTTCCAAATATGCTAACGAGCCACCCTCGTTCCATTTGAAAAAATTGAGTTATGATTAAAAATATGATTTGGGCATCTTTTAACCCGCCAGGATAAGACACGAAAAATATTAGACGATCAAATCTATTTTTCCAAGGCTCCTTAACTAAAAGTTAGTGTTTTTAACACATCCATGGCACTCTAGATTGAAATTTAAAATTGAATTTTGATTTAAGCAAAAATGTCAAAATTTGACATATGATATGTCATTCTATTCAGAATGTCATTTTCTATCGAATAAAGTAAAAAAATACCGAGGGTGCCATTTAAAAATCAAAAGTTGTAGTCATTTCCGATGAAACAGGAAATGGCCGAAAAGAATTGAATACGTCCATCAATCCTAATTTATGCCATATACTAACATACCAAATCTCGTTTTTTTATCTGATAAAATAAAAAAGTTATTGGGGTGAGCCACTTTTGAGATGCACCCGGTATCAGGGCCTATTTTTCACATTGTGGGGCCCTAAGGCCCAAGCAAAAATTCGGGCCCTCTTTTCCAATAAAATTAAAAAATTCTCTTGTTAGTTTGGGTTAAAAAAATAAAACAATTATTTTTATTTTTTTAATAATTTAAAAAATAAATAAATATTATTATATTCAACAAAATAAATAATGAAAGAAAAACAAAAATTATATCAATCTAAAGCTTATTTTATTTAATTCTATTTTCCTTATCAGAGGTAACTGTTTTTTTTCTCTGCTATGTAAATTTACATTTGAAATTATGAACATTTTACAACCTTTAACGGGCCCCCCAGACCACCGGGCCCAAGGCCCGGGCCTTATGGTAAGATAGGCCCTGCCCGGAATAATACATATACATAAAAAATAGACGCTTTTGCTTGGCACTTGTAACTTTTGTTAGGACATGCAGCATGGTATGTATTACGTTTCTAATCAAAGCTGCAAGCTCACAGAAAATTTAAGTCTTTTTTTGACTTAAATCATTTTGATGACTTAAGTCATTTGATTTTAAGCTTTTTTTTGAAAGCTGACTTAAGACATAAAATTTAGGTCTTTTTCAAAATGACTTGTGATTTAAATATTTATTCCGGAATAGAAAAAGATTTAAGCCTTTTTAGAAAAGTATTAAGTCATTAAAAAGATTTAAGTCTTTTTATAAACGACTTAAGTCATTAAAAATATTTAAGTATTTTTATAAAAGGCTATTATAATAAAAGTCAAGTCAGATTAGCTATTATAATAAAGAAAGTCAGATTATAATAAAAGTTTAACAGCAGCATTCCTTTTTAAACTGTTAAGAAGCCAAGCAGCAGAATAAAAAAAAATGGCACCGGGAGGCACGTCGTATAGCCGCCCATACTAAAATATGTTAATAAAAAGTTGGGAGGGAGTTCTTTTAGTTTCAAAGTAAAGGAATTTTTCCATTTTTTTTATCTCAAAAACTGCGACTTTGACTGTTTATGATGTGATTACAAATTTTGTTGCAAATATTATTCCTAATTTTAAATTGAAAACCGCGTTTCGCTAGCTGCTGTAATTTTGGAGTTACCATTTTTTAAAATTTTTAACCCCCTCCCATACCCCCTTACCAATGTTTCATATTATTAATGACAAAGTGTTGTGAATTTAGTATTTAGTTTGTTATAATATCAGCAGATAATGAAGAAAGTAACGATAAAATTCTTAATCGAGTTATAAATAGAGCTAAGAAATTTGGTATAAAATTTAATGAAAGTAAAGTACAGTTTAAGGTACAGGAGGTTAAGTATATGGGACAAATTTTTTCACAGGAAGGTATGAAACCAGATCCATCATACATTGAAGCAATAGTGAAATTGGAAAAACCTACAAATAAAAAAGAACTGTTAAGAATTTTAGGAATGATAAATTACTTAACTAAACTTAACCTAGTGTCGATACAACTTAAAGTTATTAACACATACTTGCACATACATATGTGACAACCAACCCCCCACCCCCACCTAAAACTAATGGCCAGATTCTCGGGTGCCACAGTATTTTTGTGCCAAATTTTGTTAAAATCGGTTTAGCGGTTTTTGAGTTATCGTGTTACAGACGGATAGACAGGCACCATGAAAATATTTTGTATTTATATCATTTATGACCCAAATAACTCATTTTGAGTGAAATTAAAAAAACTTTTTTTTGTCGATCTTAAAAAGCCTACCATACCTATTGGTACGGTCGGCTAATAATGCTCAATACCACTAGCAAATAAAACGTCAGTTTTTCGCTTGTTTTTCGGAACCGTTTTGATTATTTGTCGTGTTAGCGTGCGTATAGTGAGTCTGTTGTCTTTCAAGTGAACCCCCGACTCCGTTATGTAGCCCGAAAGAATTTAGCTCGAATATATTGAAGAGTACCTTAAAATCCTCCAGCCCTTAGCTTATGCCATCGATATATTACAAAGTGATCAAAACACATCCCCCCTTTTTAATAGAAATGTATTCAATGACATTTAAACTGTAATGGTAATAGCTTACTTCGGGTTTTTCTTATTACCGATTCTGAACCGTCCTAGAACTGTGATACGCATGCGCAGAAGGAAATATGAAGAAATTATTTCATTTGCGCATGCGCTGCGGAGTTCTAAGACGGTTCAGAATCGGTAATGACAAGAACCCGAACAAAGCTAATAAGTACAGTACGTCTGTCCGTTCTGGAGCTACGGGGTATCCGTGAGAGGGGAAACGATATTTCTCTCGATGTTTTTCCTAAAAAATAGACGATGCGTCCCGTCAATAAAAATTCGACAAATTTGCAAGTAGCCAATAAAATGAGTGGGTATACGTCAAGTCGACGTATAAAAGCTTTATTCGGGTTCTTGTTATTACCGATTCTGAACCGTTCTAGAACACTGCAGCGCATGCGCAAATGAAATAATGTCTTCATATTTCCTTCTGCGCATACGCATCACAGTTCTAGGACGGTTCAGAATCGCCAATAAGAGAAACTCGAAGTAAACTAAAATATATTGCTGTTTATTTAAATGTTTTTTGTCCGCATTCCTTTCATAGACACAGATCCAGCAGACGTACTTTACTACAAAATCGGTTAAATTTTATAAAAAAAAACATATTTTTGTGTTTGTAGCTGTACTGAAAATTAATCGTTTTATTTTATGTGGTTTTAGTCTCATCGGTCATCTGTACCAACAATAAATTAATAGTATGATACTAGTAAGAAAATTGCTAATTGGTATAATACATGAAAATTAATATTAACATTCAAAAAAGGTACTTAAATTGAATTATGGTTGTTTTGAGTTGAGGGTAATTATATTGATTTAAGTCATTTTACTGACAACTTGCAGATCATCATGATTTAAGTCAAAAATATAGACTTAAGTATAGACTGAAGTCATTAAAACGACTTAAATAACGTTATATTGGAATAATTCTTTGCAAAAATGACTTGATTTGAAATATAATGATTTAAGTCAAAGACTTAAAACATTTGAACTTTATGTAGAATTTGACTTAAGACTTAAATCATTTTGATTTTAGAAATGACTTAAGACTTTAGCCTTTTTAAAACTGACTTGTTGCAGCTCTGTTTCTAATGTAATAACTTAATATTGAATTTGGCACTTACCCCCTTTGACACTCTTCAATTTATTATTTTCTTTTTGTGTCAATTTTATTATCATTAGAAATTGTCACAACACAACGTGTCGCAGCGTCGCTCAGTCCGGGTTCTTTTCACTTAATTTTTACTACCCGATACTGCGTTAACACACACAAATTTCATCGTTCCTGAGAGTTTTATAGATCAAATAACTGCACTAGTAAAAACCAAAATACTTAAATATTATGACATAGCCACGATTTCAGTATTACATATTTGTATAATATATATTGTATAATGCGATAAACATGAACGGCAAACGGGATGGCACCCCGCGGCGTGAAATAGAGAGTTCGGAAAGTTCTGATTTCTGCCGAACCGAGCGCTGCTAGCCAAATTAAAAAAAAACAATTTAAAAAGTTGAAATGCACCAAGCCTATACGCATATAATGCTTCGGCAACAGAAACAAAAATGTAATATACATAAACAGTGTATCTGTCACCGTTTCACTCCAATGATTTATTTGTTTAGTTGATCTACTATTTAATTTTATCTTGGATAGATTAGCGGTACAGAAATATTACAATAAAAAATTATAATCTATGTAATAACTTTTTTGTTCTACAACCACAAACTCTTCTAAAATTAACTATAATTATTAGTAATATATGTTAATTTCTTTTATCAGGAAACTTGGTCTGAAGCGCAGCAAGAACGTCTGGAACTGCAAAAAGCCAGAGTTTTGGAAGTAAACAGGCACCTAGCTGCATTGACAGAAAGTTGGGAAAGAGGTGGATTACCGCTTCATATGAATCTAGCTGTTCATCACTATCCACCGTCCCATGATCTGGCAGATAGAATAAAACAACAAAATCGTATGCTTAATGAGGTACACATTTACTCATTATTTTTTTTTAAATATAGGAATATCAATCAAATTAAATTTATGCTGGCTTTTATATTACATTTCTTATTGATAGGAAGTCGGTAAGAAAAATGAAAGGATAGCTACGTTAGAGAGAGAAAAGGCCAGTTTAATTCAAGTGTTACAGATGAGATCTCAACCACCTAGAACAAGTGGTACTGAAGAAGCAGTATTTTGATTTTCAATTTGACTTTTTTTAAATTAAGTTATTTTATATTTTTGTATAGTTTTTAAATCAATAATTATTTTTGTGATGTAATATATAACTTCTAAATCTAGCATTATAGATTACCTTAAGAATATTTTAATATTAACAGATTTGATCGAAATATTGTTACCTTGTGCCATTATTATATTATTTTTCTTTGTTTTTAATGGGATATTTTTATAAAACACTGAAAAGCAAAATTTTTAATAAAACACCATTTATTTTAGAAACAACAGTCTATTTATATAAAATCTATAATTTGTTCCATATACTATGTGCTGATCCCATATTTAATACTGATAAGAATGGTTAATACAAATGATGATTATCATGATACAATTTAAGTTAAGACAAACACATTTGACTACAGATATCACATAAAACTTCTACAACGCTTTAAAACAGTGTCATCATTTTTCTTTTGTTGAATGCATGGCTTCCCAGTTTATACCATCACATGTTAATTCACTTTTCAAAAATGGACTAATCCAAACCAAGTACCAGCGTCTTCCTAACACAACTTCTAAATTTCGTATTTTTCCTTGATCATACAGACTCGTTTTCAATTTTCTTTCTGGTGTTACTAGTCCATTTAGTATCATACTTAAGTGATAGTATAGCAAAACTGCTGTAAAAGCACTTCCTAAAAGAACTATTATAATAAAGGCCACATACAGCTGATTCTCAGTCCATTCTAAGAACAGCATAGCAAGAGGGAATATAATTTTTGTAAGATTTACCCACGAATCAAATTTAACATAAGCATCAATAAACTGAATATTGAAAATACTTGAGTAAACTGTCGCAATAAACATATAAAACACAAACACTAAGAAAAATCTGTGGTTGTTATGCCCAATACAACAGCTAGTAAATATGCAGTGATGATCTCTTTTCAGGATACAAATATTGCATATTGAGCAATGCCATGATCTTGGTGGAGTCAAACTTTCACAAACTGAACAAAATCTCCAATCTTTGCCTCCTTCAGCAGGCAGAATCTTTCCGCTAATACTCGTATCGGTGAGTATAATTGCGATCAAATTCGAACAGATATTGAACAATATGAAGTTACCTATGCAAAAGTGAAATAAATATTTGAAACTCCATGTATCATAGAATCTTGGTAGCACTACCCAAAGTTCAAAATAATATATAACGGGTATTATAACCAACAGAAAACTAGTTACACAGGCATCAGTTATAGATTTCGGATAAATATTTGTTCTCATTAAAGCCATTTTTTCTCTCAAAATGTAAGGTTATTGTTTATAGTGACGTTTCTCTTCTTTTCTATTTAAAAACTTTTAACTGCCTGGGTTATCTGCGTCTTTAATCTATGGTTGTGAGTACTAAAGTCATATATTCTAAATTATGTTCATATGATCTACCGTTGCCATAACATATATTTAGTAACAAAGGCTATAATGCTATGATCATAGATAAAGGAAAGATTTTTGGTAGTGCTGGTCAATCGATATCGATATCCGAAAATCGATTGATCAAATACGATCTCAGAATTTAATTTTACATAGGATCTTTTTAAAATAAAAATAATTTTAACTATTATTCAAAATATAAAATAAAAATTACGTTTAGAATCAGTTAGAATAGATTTAATATATTAAATAAAAGTAAATAATTATTTATCGATTATACAGGTCTACAATGATTTTGGTGCCGCCAAAACTAAAACTGATTTTATTTTAAGTATATTAGGTACCCTAATTCTACCAGTATACTTGCTTTTTTAATGCTACGTGTAGTTTTCAACATTCATTTGTATCAAGCAGCTCTGCAAACAGTATAGTTGGTATAGTATTGGACATAAAGCAAAAATATATATTTAATATTTTTACACTTTAATAAACTTGTTAGTATTGAGGGCTAACCCGGTTCACATACCTATTTTTAAAAATATACCTTATGATAAAAAAACGGGTGTCAAGTTGGCTTGAAAATGAGAATGTGTATCATTCGCCATATTTACATATAAAATGACAGCAACTGTGACGCTGTTTTTTTTCGATAATATGGAAAATGATTATCCATAATATACTTGTTTTATAGGTATATTATTCAGTAAATCGCATAAACAGGACAAATTATTGTATTCAATCAAAAAAAGCTCTGTTTAAACAACCTTTATTAAAAAATACACTGCATATTAAATTATGCAGTTAACACAATAAAAAGAGATAACAAGTTCTAAAATATTTTTATACAAATATAAAAATAACTTCGTCTCAATTTATCAAAAAAAGGCTCAAAATCAAATAAAATAATATTTTGAGTTTGCATGCAAAAGAACTAGTATTACTACAGTTCAGGAATATCACATTCGTTTTCAGATTTAATGTCTACCTCTTCAAGTTTAATTTTATCTGAGCGTTCTTCTTCTGGAAAACTATAATTTAGGAACTTGTTCCTTAAAACGGTTTCATAAAAATCAGATGTACTTTCTTCTTCGCTGTTCTTGATTGTATCTTTTCTCTCTTTTTTGACATATTTTTTTCGCAGGTCGATGACCTTTCCATTTTCATACAAAACTTTATAAATGGCGGTACTCTTCATTTTGTCCGGTTTCATTTCCGATAAAATTTCTAAGCAAGCTGAAAAAATATATGCCTCAATTCGCAATCTAGTGTTACTATACCGGGTGCGTCTCAAAAGTGACTCACCCCTATGACGTTTTTTTTTCAGAAAACGAGATTTGGTATATTAGTATATGACAAATTAGGATTGATTGACGTATTCAATACATAATTGTTTTCGGTCACTTCCTGTTTCACCGGAAATGACTACAACTTTTGATTTTTAAATGACACCCTCGGTAATTTTTTACTTTATTGGATACAAAATGACACTCTGAGGGTGCATCCACACTATCCTAAAAACGGCGTATCGGCGTAACGACCTTGAATCGATTTCCAGTAATTCTATTGGCTGAAATTTTTGACAGATGAATTTGACAGATAAAATTTCTGACAGATGAATTTTTCAGCCAATAGAATTACTGAAAATCTATTCAAGGCCATTATGCCGTTACGCCGATACGCCGTTTTTAGGATAGTGTGGATGCACCCTGAATAGAACTTCTGACATTCTCGGTTAAAAAAAATCGTATTTTAAATTTCAATCTAGAGTGCCATGGATGCGTTACAAACACTAATTTTTAATCAAGGAGCCTTGAAATAAATTTTAGAAAAAAAACTTTTTTAAAAACAAGCTTTTATTTAAATACACAAAAAAGAATAAAATAAACTTTTTTTAAAAACTTTTATTAAGAACTTATAACGTCATTACACAATTTTAATATTATATAAAAGCTTGTCGCGAGATTTGAGTGTACAGTTGCACTCATAAAAATCTGGTACGACAACTTTATCTAGTAATTCCTGGTCTAGTGGTCTATCATAACACAAACTTTGAAAATGAGACAGGGTAGACACAGGTTTTAGTTAATTTACTTGTTTATCGATGTAGAGAAATCTCGCGACAAGCTTTTATATAATATTAAAATTGTGTAATGACTAATGACGTTATAAGTTCATAATAAAAGTTTTAAAGAAAAAGTTTATTTTATTCTTTTTAGTGTATTTAAATAAAAGCTTGTTTTTAAAAAAAAATTTTCTCTGAAACTTATTTTCTACTTTTTAGTTATGCTGGTTTCTCAGTGCCACACATTTAAACTCAATTTTTTTTCTTAAATAACTTTCTATAGGCATCCTAATATAGTATGTATATCGATTTTCCTATCAGTATGTATATACATCCTATAGTATGTATATCGATTTTCATTAAAAAAGGAGAACTTAAAAAAAACGACAGCTATGAAATTTGACAGTTCAAATGTGAGAAAAAAAAAAAATGAAAACCGACTATGAGGTAGGGGGCAGCCAATATATATGAAAATCGGACAACTTTGAAATTTTTTTGACAGCTCAAAATTGTTTTCTTTCATTTTAGCCCATGGCCGTCCTATATATCGATTTTTATCAAAATCGGCCAACTTTGAAATTTTTTTGACAGCTGTCAAATTTGACAGCTCAAAATTTTTTTCTTTCATTTTAGCCCATGGCCATCCTATATATCGATTTTTATCAAAATCGGACAACTTTGAAATTTTTTTGACAGCTGTCAAATTTGACAACTCAAAATTTTTTTTTTCGTTTTAGCCCATAGCCGTCCTATATATCGATTTTTGTCAAAATCGGACAACTTTGAATTTTTTTTGACAGCTGTCAAATTTGACAGCCCAAATTTTTTTTCTTTCATTTTAGCCCATGGCCATCTATGAATTTTTTTTCTTTCATTTTGGCCCATGGCCTATATATCAATTTTTATGAAAATCGGTTAACTTTGAAATTTTGACATGTCATTAAACTGTTATTTTTTCGAGATGGCCGCCCATATATATACCGCGATATATTTTTTTTCATATGTATATACTCACAATATACCTATAATATAGGTCCCATATATGTATATATAATTTCAGCCCGATCATAAATAGAATTTTAAAAAATCAAAAACCTCAAAAATGCCGCCATTTTGACAGCTGTCAAAAATTCGGGTCATGCCTTGCAAAAAAATGTATTGTCATCGGGACTGAACCTACATGCCAAATTTCAATCTCCTACAATAAAAGGAAGTGGTTCTAATTTAGCTTACAAGATTTGCCCCGAACAAACATACATACATACATAGATAGTTACATAGAAAGCAAGTTAAATAAAAGCTTATAAAAAAGGATTTCATTGTGTATTGTTCTTCGTGTATTATCCTGACCAATTAAAAGATGTCCAAATCGCATTTTTAATCATATCTCAATTTTTTCAAATGGAACCAGGGTGGTTCGTTAGCATATTCGGAAAAAGCATTTTTTACGAATAATTTGATACTCACACTTGGTATTTCGAGTCAAAATATCGTTATGAACCGCATGTTACAATTTCAAATAAACCGTATGCAAAAATATCAAAAGTTGACATGTGATACGTCATTCTATTCAGAGTGTCATTTTCCATCAAATAAAGTAAAAAAAATACCGAGGGTTTGGTTTGGAAAGTTGTGAAACAGGAAGTGACCAAAAACAATTGAATACGTCAATCAATCCTAATTTATGTCATATACTAACATAACAAATCTCGTTTTTTTTATCTGAAAAAATAAAATAGTTATAGAGGTGAACGACTTTTGAGACGCACTCGGTATGTAAACTTAGTAATTTTTTTTTGTAAAGTTCAATTCATATAATTAAAATGCTTCAAAAATCTTTAAAATAAGTAAATTCAATTTCATATTATTTTTCTGCTTGCACGATATATTTTATTCTAATTAAAAAACTTTACTTTTAAGGGCACTGTTGGTTGTAGATTTACTTAATAATCGAAATGGTTAAAACCGTTATTCTTTTATAAATAAATACGGTGCTGTGCAACTGCCATGTCATTATAATTATTATAGAAATAAAGATGACTAATATTTATACCAACGATTTATAACAAAATTGTTGAATAGCTGCTTAAAGAGAGACTAAATAAAATAAACTGACTTGGTTTTACGTGAGATCTCACAACCTTTTATAGTGAAAGAATTGTGACTTGGCATTTTTTTACATTCTGTTTTTGACGGGATCTACACTTTATTTTATTTATTCTTGGGTCTAGAAATGTCTAGACTCAAGAATAAAGAAAATAGAGAGTAGATAATATAAACCATCTTTTTTTTTCAGTCCCACAGACCAACATTTTGTAAATAAAACATAACTTTTCCTATAAAATAAATAAAAATATTTACTTACCTTCAAGATTTGATCTCTTATATTCGGGAAGCACATCCGTTAAAGACTTAAAGAGAGCGTACACTTTATGTGACGTGAAGCCATCAAAATGTTTAGCATATTCTGACCAATTGACAAGTCTCCAATCTTTCTCATTATTCTTGCACAACCTGAAACCATTTTATTTTGTTAATTAACAATAAACGTACTTGGGTTTCCATAAAGGTAAAAATATTAATAACATTAAAAAAAATACAGTTGGAGGTTGGAACCTTCCGTGTTAAACAGCAAAATATAACACTAATTCACGCTTTTAACACTAGACGCGCGTTCCGCTTAAAACCATTTTTTTCAAGATTTAATCATCTGTTGATGATTCTAACATGGATAGTTAAACGAGCGTCCAGTGTTAAAAGGAGTGGTTTGGTGTATTGTGGTGAATTAGTGTTCTATTTTGCGATTAAAAAAGAAGTTTCAAATTTATTTTATAAAAATCAATCAAATGACTTTCTGTCGCTGGTGACATTGGTTGACACTTCAAACAAACAATGAGAACTGTAATTTTGTACAATTTTTGTACAAATCTCACTGGTTCTTTGATATGTCGCTGGCGACGGTACAAAGTTCTAAGAACGGGGCTTTAATTGTCACCCAATATATTATTCACTGTTCTACTGCTAATTAGAAATAAAAATTAATATTTTAAATATAACCTGTAAAGTTAATTTTTAAATAAATTTTGCTGTTTTTGGTAACTTATATAACCCCTTGGCCTATTATAGCAGTGATTTGTTAATAGAGCAGGGTCTCAAACATAAATACCAGAGAATACCTCAAAATATACAAGATGGCGCCTCTCATACGACGCGGAGGCTCCGAGGAGAACAACAGTTTGTATTGAAATGAAATTTTGTGAGCATATGTAGGTTAATTTAGAGCATTTTTTGGGTGTCCCCAAAAAAAGTTACACATCAAAGTTGTTTTTTGTAATGAAACCCACTATGGATTCTAAGAAAAAAATAAAGGTGAGTTTCATTAGAGAATTATATGACTAAAATGTAAGGTTTTTGACATATTTAACATTTTCTAAAAATGAAGAATAATTTTTAATTTTCAATAAAAACTATCTAAATTCGAATTAACCCGGTATAGCCCAATGTGTAGTTAAAATAACAATTGTACTTTAAATCGAATTAAAACTTACCCAAAAAGTTATACAGGGTTAGGAAATCAATTAATATACGGGGTGTCCCAGGAATAAGTGCAAGTATTTTAAGGGGTGGGAGATCTCGATAAAAGAAACATATTTTCTCTTTATCGTTTTTCAAATAAGTCCAAAATAACGAGTTATTTGACTTTGAAAATTTCCAAAAAAACATGATTTTTTGCTAAAATTTTGAGAACCACTGGATCTTTTCTGGATTTTCTTTCTTGTAAATTTAATCTAATATCTATGTTGCCATATTATCAAGAAATTATGTTTTTTAACTAAAAACTAAAAAAAAATCCAAAAAATTTCGAATTTTCATTTTTTTTTTCGCGAAGAAACACTCATAGGCGTGCTTCTGGGGTTGAACTATACTACCGGTTTAAATATTTGCACTTATTTCTAGGACACCCTGTACAGAGGGTGGAAAAAAACAACTTTGTTGCGTAACTTTTTTTAGGGACACCCTGTAGAACTCTATATATTTTTATAAAATGCTTTCAATTAACCTACATATGCTCCCAAAATTTCATTGCGATATAAACTCCCGTTCTCCTTGGAGTCTCCGCGTCGTATGAAGGTGCGTATTCATTATCCGAACGAACGCACGAACGAACGAGCGAACGATTGGGATTCGGTATATTTGGACGGGGAACCGAACACACGCAGCCGTTCGGTCGTTCGTTTGCTCGACCATCCGTTTCAAGTCGGTAGATCAAAGGCGTTCGCAAACGAATGGGTTAGGTGTTGTTCGTTTGGTTCTATAATTCGGCCCCGTTCATACTACTATCGAACGAACGAACAGACATTGGTTCGTGTGTTCGAATAGTGAATACGCACTTTGAGAGGCGCCAGCCTGTATACCACAGGAATGGACTATAAATACTTTTTATATCGTCGTCAATATCACGAAGTGGTGTAACTCATTTTCGGAAAAGTGGGTTAAATCTTCTTACTACTTTTGTCTCAATAACAACCAAAATATATTATAGTCACTGTGTTTCTTTAACAAAAAAGATACACAGTGACTTGTAGCGTTTTTTTTAAACCACTACCACTGCGAACGGCAGCTTTTCATCGGAGAGCAGTCGTGGATAAGGTATTTCACTAGAGAAAATTAATCAGTAATAATTAACAAAAGATATATAGATATTGGGCGCCAGGCATGTACAGAGAAAGAAAACACAGTTGTATAATACTTAAAACTAATGACTATATTTATTCATGACGTTCTTTGCTGATACATGACATTGTAGAGTTCTAGTAAATATACAGTGGTTATATGTCTAAGAAAGTGGTGGTAAGAGTCGTACTAAATATCAATGAAAACAACTACGATAAAATACAGGACATGTAAAGTTTAAGAGAAAATATGAAATGTAGCATTACTTTAATTAAGTAATTTAATATATTCCATATGATGCTAAATCGAAGATGTTACAACCTGTAGATTCTAGAATCTATGTTTGATTATCCATCTATTAAAATAGTGCAATAATATCTATAAAAGTAATACCATTACAAGACGTAATGCAATGAAACCTAAGATCTAAATTATATTTTAAAGATTATATCGACATGAATGTTCTTAACAATCTAACCACTGAACATAGTCTGTACGATATTACTTAAGATTGGTACGTTATTGTTTAAGACTGAAAATGTTTTAGATGTTAAATGTAAAACTAGAACTTAAATATACACTTAGCTGTTCTTTTATGTAACCTTGCTTCAAACAGTAGCAGTGTGAGGTGGTCTAGCATCTCTGTACTGTCTGTCGGCGATCCTGTTGGCCAAAACAACAAAAGGGGCCAGGTTGAGGACACCATGAATCACTACAGCCGTAGCTACTGACTAGGCTTAGAAATGGGAGTGAAGCAGCATGGGGCTCAAGCTACATCCACGCTGTGGCACTTATATGTAAGAAAAAAAAATCATTCTTACTGGGGACACTCGTCCACAGGACATCTGTACATAAGATAATGTCTGTACATAAGACACTATCCGTACCTTGGACCCTAAAAATATGAAACTCTTGTTTAAAACCAAACAAGATCTTATAAACAAAATGAACCTACCTCGAATTACTTCCGAGGGCTCACTAAATAATAAAGAACCTGTCCTTCCTTCCATGTGACATTCTGGAGGACAAAAGAAAAGGGACGCCAACGTGCCAGCAAAATACAATTACAAGTTAGGTTGGGGCATCCGCAACTCTACCCTAAAAATACGCAGTAATAGTAACGAATCTAAAAGGATAATATCTCATCTTTACCTGTAGCTTCGAAATAGCAGCTGATTCAGATACACAGCAAGATTTAAATAATCACCATTTCTCAAAAACTGGGACTAATGGCGTCTGACAGGCCAAACAGTCTAACCAAAAGTGAAGTTAAATCACAGAGAGTTGACAGAAGCGATGTTGACAGCGCGCGCCTCCACAGAGCGATAACAGGGTTGTGTCAAACGAAAACAGGGTTGTGGACTAGAGAACGTAAAAATTCGTCAAATAAATCATCAGGCCCGAACGATACGGAATCGGGTGACGATATGCCAGACATCATATATTATATATAAAAAAGACATGTAACGAACTAAAAACGTTACAGACTTGTAAAAAAACTTTAAACAGCTCTCCTGAAAAATATCAAAAAATGAGTTAGGCCACTTCATGATATTTTGACGATATACGTATATCAAACAGAAGTACATTTTTTGAAAAAATATGAGTTGGTCTACCAGGTCGAGATACACCCTTGGTGGCAAATGTGTTAGTAAAAAAATAATATACTTACATTTGGATGAGTTTACATTTGAGTAGCGGTAGTTCACACACCTCGCCAGGTATAAATAATCTTGAATGAATATTACCAAGCCAGGCCGGCTTCAAAATTCGTACAGGGAGGTTATCTAGCTTTTTTGAAAGTTTCTTAAACTCTTTCACCGTGATGTGACGATTCTTCAACTCCCGATAGTCTCGTACTTTCGTTATTTTCATTAAATTCTGTATAAATGCAGCAAGGTTTTGCCTGCCCCATCGAATCTTCCTAGTGTGTGTCTGTTTAAGTACCTGAAGTCTACTGTGTACCGAAAAATAAGGCCTATTCAACTCCTTCGCTATTTTGCAGACATAGTTTCTTTGGTAGTTCAATTCTTCTACTCTTTTTACTATGTATTCATCTTCTTCTATGGAGAACCTTATAAACACAGTTAGAAGAACTTATTATACTATGTTGTTGTAGAGCAGTACAGAGTGTCCCATTTTCGTGTGTTTTACAGAGTATCTCGCTTATGGGTAGAGATACAAAGATGCGGTTTTCACATCACTGTGCTACTTTTTTATGAAACTAAAGATGCTACACATAGATTTGTCCTAGCCCTCTTAGTTCCTGAAATACAGGGCGAAATTGAAAATGTTGCATTTCTTGACCCCCTTCATATCTCGGCTATCTTATAACTTATCGAAAAGGTGAAAACTGAGCCCAGTAGACACTTTCACGGAGAATCTAGTGGCGTAACCAGTTTTTTGTTGGGAGCTGTCATTCTCGAAATATAACCTAAACATATGTTTTTTTTTAAAGGGACACCCTGTATATTATTTTTTTTTCTTAAATTTGCTTTGTCATGAGCTTTCTAAAAATATAATATACTCTAGATTTATTTTCATAAATAAGGTAAAAAAATATATATATTTTTTTTAAGTTAACATAAAACAACCTATTTTAAGAGAATTATTTTTATTTAAATTAATTTGACCAGGTAATTTTGCTTTCCATCATTTTTTTTTTCATAGACTGCACTGAAAATGAGCTTATGCAGCTTTTAGATTTGATTGCCAACTTTGAAAATAAACATATAATATAAATTTTGTTGTTCTGCTATGTTTAGTACCTATAGTGAATCAAAAAACAACACGGAAACTAGCAATGGAAAAGACAATAGCCAAAATTTGACGTTGAATAAATGATTCAATTGTCATGACTATCTATTACATACCGGCGGCCAATGTTAAAAAGTTAAAAAATGTATTTTTTACATTATTTATGAAAATAAATGTAGGGTATATTATATTTTTAGAAAGCTCATGACACAGCAAATTTAATAAAAAAATATTATACAGGGTGTCGAATTTAAAAAAAAGATAAGTTTAGGTTATATTTCGAGAATCACAGCTCCCAACGAAAATCTAGTTACGCCACTGGATTCTACGTGAAAATGTCTGCTGGGCTCAGTTTTCACCTTTTCGATAAGTTTTAAGATAACCGAAATATGAGGACAACATTTTCAATTTCGCCCTGTATTTCAGGAACTAAAAGGGTCAAATCTGTGTGTAGCATCTCTAGTTTCATAAAAAAGTAGCACAGTGATGTGAAAACCGCATCTTTGTAACTCTACACATAAGCGAGAAACCCCGTAAAACACACGAAAATGGGACACCCTGTACAAGAGAGGTACAAATGTATATGTTGAAAAAATCAGGATAAAAAAAACAAGAATAAGACATTTCTAAAATGTCACTGGTTTGTAACTAAAATTAATTTTAAAGTGTGTTAATATGTATAAATGATTCTCAAATGAAATTAAATTCTAAATTTTCAAATTTAACTGTAATGTCAAACGTGACCTTGAATTTGAGAAAATCGACAACAAATGATAATCATAGACACAATGTAGAATCAATTTAAAATGTCCAAAAATAACTTCCGTTTTTAATCCTAACATTAACATTAGTCCTAATCCCAAGAATCCACACTAACATTAGTCCTAATCCCAAGAATATGAATCAACGTTAACGAACGCTAGCGTTCACGCTTCCAAAGCATCGATCTTATCATTAGCCTTATGGTGGGTTCGTGCTCCCGATCTTAGCCCTAACACTAACATTAGTCGTAAGCGTTGGGATCGATGCAACGGAAGTTGGGATCGATCCTAACATTAGCCTTAGTCCTAACAAGTTGAGATATTTTATATTCTTAGGGCTAATGCTAATTCAAAACTGAATCGTACACGCTCAAAACTAGTGGTTTTAAGAATTCTCGAAATAATATCTGACATGTTGAATTTGACGGTTTATAAATGTTAATAAATCATGTACTTTTTGGTCTAGAAATTATTAATGTAAAAATTAGTTTCTCTAGTATTAGAAATTTTAAAACTCATTGTGAATTTAGGTTAGTTCAAAACATGTTTTATATGAGCGCAAGCGCTTACGAGTATATTGAGTAGTTTCTTAAGATAACTAACTAGGAGAAGTATATTAACGGCATTTCCTTAAGTTCTTAAGGTTAATTTCTTTTAACCCAAAAAAGCTTTGTTTTTATTTTTAATAATATAAAACAATTATTTTTATATATTAGAGACCCAGTCTATTGCTGCTGGATCGATAATTTATTTCATGTGACATGAAAATAAAATTTGTATTTTTTTGAAACCCGCACCTTCACGTCAAATATTTATCTCTTTTGAATCATATCCTGTTCTAAAAATTTTCGGGGCATATTTTAAATTTTAGGTTTTTGCTACAGCAGCGCCATCTTAAGTCTTCCTTTTATTATGACCATTTTTAATGCACGAAGATATTTCTCCTTAACTCTACACTCCACACTCGAAAAATTAACCTACCATTAGTCCTAACGGGTCCTAACTTATGAAATGTGGAATATTTTATATGCTTAGAGTTAATATCTAATTCAAAATTGATTTGCGCATGCTCAAAACTAGTTTTAATTTTCGAAATAATATATTGAATTTGACGGTTTATAAATGTTCTTAAGGCAAGTATGAGAAGTACGAACAGCATTTCCTCAAGGTCTTAAAGTTAATTTTCCTATGGTTAATGTTAGGGGTAAGGTTAGGACTATGGTGGGTTCATACTTCGAGTATTAGTCCTAGAATAGAATAGAATAGAATAGAATAGAATAAGTGGGAGGGGGGTTAATCTCTGCGACCTTAAAGATCTATTGTGTCCCCCTTTCTTGAGTTATAACTCATCATACAGTTCCAGGACTTCCTACGGAGACCCGTGTCCCTCACAGTCGAGGAGCTACGACCCAGGCCGGGTAGACGAAACGGTAGCTTGTGTCGCCTGTTGGGTTTAGAAGTAGGAGGTAGGCTCCCGACCCTTGGAGGAGGTGGTAGCTTGTATGCCACTTGCGGAGGATGGTCTCACGCAAGTGTCAGCCACCTCTCCTGTAGTTCTCTTTGGGTTTGGCCCCTTTCATTGTTACTGTTCCCAGTGTCGCTAGGGGGTTTCCCCACAGCTTCACCAGTGATGTTTTTATTACTATTATTACCAGATCTCATAGTGTTCCTATGAGTCGCTAGGGACAGTCGGTCCACTTCTACAATGAGTCCCGCATGTAGAAGTAAGGGGTAAAATACAATGGGGTGCCCCCCGGTGCCCCAAGGTTGAGGCTGTCCGTAGCCCCGCCCGGTATCGTTATATGTCTTGGTGCAATTCCCTGGCCACGACACTACAGTCAGGGACAAGACGATGAGTGAGATGCTTCTTAAACCAAGCCAAGTGCTAGGGGGGATTCCCCGAGTATTAGTCCTAAGCTTGCCCCTAAGAAATTAGACTTAAGAACTTAAGAAAATGCCGTTCATACTTCTCCGACTTGTCTTAAGAATATTCTCAATTAAGCCAAGTAAGCGCTGGCGCTTATATAAAACATATGTTTGGAACTAACCTAACTTTAGAAATATTTCTAGAATTTCAAATACTAGAGAGACTAATTTTTTACATTAATAATTTCTAGACCAAAAGATAAATAATTTATTAGCATTTACAAACCGTCAAACTCAACATGTCAAATATTATACGACTAAGGCTAATGTTAAGATTGATACGTTGGAAGCATGAACTCTAGCGTTGGTTAACGTTGATTAATATTCTTGAGATTATGACTAATATTAGTGTTAGGGTTAAGATTACAGTTGGGGGTTGGAACCTATGGTGTTACAACAGCAAAATCCATATCACCACAATAAACCAAAACACTTTTACTTTTACATAGTGATGGGCAAAACTGTTATTTTTAGATAACAGTTGAAACTGTTATAGTTATTTATAAAAAACAGCTTAAAATAACAGCTTAAAAATAACAGGTTTCTTTATTTTACTGCTAAATATCTGAAAGAGTATGAGACGGTCACCGCCAGGCGTATTAACGCAGTTGCAAGTTGCAACAATGACGTGCTCGGTGGTAGTATTTCCAGGGTGTCAAAACATTTCTAAATATCGATTGTTATCTAAAATACCTCTCTAAAAACGGTGGTTGTTTACAAATAAGCGCTGTTTACAAATTGCGATATAAAAAAGGCCAAACTCCGCCACTCGTCTATACCTTTACATTCCGATCTACCTACGCCCTGCCCCTCGATCCGCGTAGATCCTGAATTGCGTAGCAGTGTACAGGGTGCATCTTACTCGACGGGCGAGAAGCTCTTAGTTATGATTGTACCATTTGCGGTCAAAAAATAGCAATATAAGAAAATGTGTAGTATATTCTTCATAAGTAAACCAACTACACTAGAGTTCGAATTAATTTTACACTTAAACTAGCTTGTACCCGCGACTTCGTTCGAGTCGAATTAATAATTTCTAATGGTGATGATACAGCAAAACAAGAATTTCCATTAACATACAAACTGGATAAAATGTTCTCACATTTGCCAAAAATAAGCTTTAAACGTCAAGCAGTTTAAGCAGAACCGTGGTTAATCAATTACTCAACTTTTTGGAACACCCTGTATGATTTTTTAAAAAATTTCAAAATATGTAAAAAAAACAAAATAAATTATGCGTGTCCAGGCGTTTTCCCGAAAGACTAACCGTTTTTTAAATAACAAATATTGTAATATTTGAGGGGCGTTTTCACCCTGTTGGAATTTGAGATTCGAGAAACCCCTCCTTATCGAACCTCAACCCCACAGTCAATCTGTTTGCAAAAAATCAGCTTTAAACGTCCAGCCAGTGCCTTCTATTAAAAGATCAGCCTGGGGGCGGACTTTTGTTTACTTCATCAGCTGTACATACTTAGATATTGGGTTAGATTCCGTTTCATATTTTGTCGGTTGATTTTTGGTTTTAACTCTTTGATTTTTGGTATTATTTATTATTGTAGTGCAAAAAACTAATTATTTTGGAGTTTAAGTGACATAAACTACTACCAGATATATGGTCACTCTCGGTTTCGCATAAAAAAATAGAAAAATAGAAATATTACACGTTGTGTAGGTGATTTAACCTAAAAGTGCCCATACATTTTTTACTTATCGTGATTTTTGTGTGTGTTTTTTAAGACTCTAACAATTCATCAATAAAGCTTAAGTGGAGTGCGTTTTTGGTGCTATGCCTCATCTTTGTTGTGTTCCTGGTGGAAAGGATAGTTATACTAGGCAGCCTAAAGTGTCCGGAAGAGCAAGAAAAGTGGGTACGAGTTATAAATCAAGAGAATTCTATTGAAAATATCTTTAATAAATTTAAAAATAATATTCTCCCATGATGGTATTAATGAAAACTGGACAATTATGTTTATTTTATTCATATTGTGGAATCTCCACTCCAAGTGTTGTTGGTTCAGCTTCGATAGATTAAAACACGTAAGTAGGTATTATGATCTAGGAAAAAATAAAGAATATGTGTATTAAAGATCATGAAAAAGATTATTATTTTGAGTTCAAATTTTAAAAAAGATTTTTGTAAAGACTAGACTGATACAGTTTAAAAGAAGAATGTGTTTTTGTTTGATAATATATAATGTATGTCAAGCATAACATATATTTGTTCAGTAATTTTTAATGAATAGTGTTGATTATTTATAATACCAAATTAATATCAAATATTTAAGTGATGGCTGAATACAATATGAATAAAATAACAATAAAATTGGTATATTTGCATAATACAAAATTAAGTTTTAAGAATAAAGGTGTTACTAAAAATACTAAGAAATTCGTATTTCTTTGTTTTAATTGGTCTAATGTTATTTACATTTTACGTAAGAATTATACCGTATCATCGAAAAAAATCGGCGTCTAGTTGGCTTGGAAATGAACATCGATGACATTCCCTAAATAACTGTACACATAAAATAATTAACTAGAATTTTACAATCTTGGAAAATTTTATATTCTTGAACCTTGTTTCTAAATATTCTAAATTTTTTTATTTTCTTGGGATTTAGGTTCGGGAAAAACGCTGATTAAGTTTTCATTTGGTTTTTCATTATTTTTATTTGGTTTAAAAAAAAACGTTTCGGCTAACATTATAGCCTTCATCAGTGTTGTGTCATATGAAAAAAATAGTGTCGAATATAATCCAAAAAATTACATATAAAATATTCACACCACGCACATAATGTTTACTGCGTACTCCACAGTCAATGTAGATAATTTTAGTGTTAAGAATAATAATTTTAAACAATATGTGGTCATCTTTTCATAAGTTTATATTAGTTTATTAATTGCAGTAAACATTATGAGGTGTGAATTATATTTTATATGTAATTTTTTGAATTATTATCGACACTATTTTTCTCATATGACATAACACTGATGAAGGCTATAGTTAGCCGAAACGTTCTTTTAAACCAAATAAAAATAATGAAAACCCAAATGAAAACTTAAATCAGCGTTTTTCCCGAACCTAAAAATCCCAAGAAAATCAAAAATTTTAGAATAATTTTATACATAAAATGCCAGCGATCTTCATTTCATAGCCATCGCTGACGCCTTTTTTTAGATAATATTGTATTATTTGTAAATATAATTTTTCGAACATTGATACTTGCAAAATATACATATAAATTTTGTGAATGCAAATAATAATACATCACTATTAGTAGATATTGAATGTTTCTTGTTAAATTAGATCGATTTTCAAACCCCAAAATTTAAAATATGTTTACATTTTACCCATTATCTTATGTACCTATACATTATTTGTACATTGTAAAACATTTGCTGCATTTGTATGGTTCATAGTTTATTTGCCAAAGTATTTATTACTATAAATAGGTATATATGTTGTAGTTATTAACTGTATATTATGTATATTTCATGTAAACTATATCATTTTTAAAATACAAACCAAAAATGAGGAATAATTATGTTTTCCATGTATTCTACAACATATTTATTAATCCGTTATATCTAACTAGCGTGACGTCATAAATCTCGCCCGTAGGCTGATCTTTTAATAGAAGGCACTGGTCCAGCAGTGTAAACAGAATAGTAATCACTAATCAATGGTCATATTTTATGAAACACCCTGTATATATTTTTAAAAAACCTTAAAATATATAAAACAACATAATAAAATATACGTGTTTTAAGAGTTTTTCCGAAAAACTCACCGGTTTTTAAATAAAAAATATTCTAATATTTCAGAGTAGTTTCACCCCCTTAGAATTCGAGTTTCGAAAAATCCCTTCTTATCAAACCTCTACACACTAAAGTCAATCTGTTTTCCAAAAATCAGCTTTTTACGTCAAGGGCTTTAAGCAGGATCGTGATTAATCAATGACCAGATTTTTCAAAACACCCTGTATACATTTTTAAAAAATCTTAAAATATTATTCTGATAAATTTTCAGAAAATAAAAAATAAATACCTAAATGTTAAATAAATACCTAAAAATAAATACCTAAATATTGAAACTTAATAAGTAAGTACTGAAACATACAGCGCCATAATATCTCGACCTCCGTCCGTTATGCTCGTAACAGGTTGAAACAGAATGTATCTAAAACAACTGATGCATTATTCCCCAACCTGTTTCGAACCTCCATCGACAATCGACCGATGCAGCAGCGTTCCTTTCCCACACCGATTATCTCGTCCGCCGCCCTGTTATACTTGTAACAGGTTGAAAAACAACATATCTAAAATGACTGCTTCTCCAACCCGTTGCGAGCCTCCATCGACAATCGACCGATGCAGCAGCGTTCCTTTCCCACTCCTGTTATCTCCACCGCCAGGCGTTATGCCCTCAACTGTTTCAAAAAACCTGCTTCTTTTATATCCTATTATTTTTAAGCTGTTGTAAATACGACCATTGACGGTATCGACCGAAGCAGCTACGTTCGCCGTAGCGCTTTCCCACTCCGTTGTCCGTTGTCTCGCCGCCTGTATCGATGGTTGACGAAATAACATGTTTTCCATCCATACTAGTTGTTTTTTGGAATTGCTTCGAGCAGCATAGAATTTCGTGGTGATGCAGAGCGCCGACTTCGTTTTTCGTTTCACGAGCGGCCGATCTCTATGTGTCGTTATTTTATATCTGTTATTTTTTAGAAGTAGTAACGGTTGCGTTATGTTATTTATAAATAATTGTTATAAAATAACAGATAGTTAAATAACAACCCATCACTACTTTTACACTGGACGCGCGTTTCGCTAATCATGTTAGCATCATCATCAAAAGTTTTAATTAAAAATGTTTTGGTGTATTGTGGTGATCTAGTGTTTTATTTTGCTGTTAGGGTTACGATTAGTAATGGGATAATTATTATCGAAATATTGAAATAACCGATTATTGAAATAACCGACATCGCTCGATAATGAACGAGCGATACAAGTGACCAGTACCAAGCGACGAACGCAAGCGATCCTAGAATGAAATAAATTGAAATCCGATTTTAATGTGACATACTCGATAAAAAGCCGAGCGAATTTTCTACATACATTGCAGGTAGCAAATTTATACGACGCCGTATATATATATTTATCAGTTGCGTATCTGAGGGACAAAATTTTACGACCTACATTGACAAAGTTTTGAAATAAACTAAATCAAGCGAATCGCTCGCCGCTTGCTACTTGCCATTCATGACAGAAGGAATATGTGCCCTGCGCACGCAACTTACTGCTTGACGCTTGGCGTTAACGAGTACTTACAACAAGCGACGGGTAAAAAACCGTATTTTTAAATACGAGTGATATTTCGCTCGAGCGATCACTCGGTTATTGCAATCGCTTGAAACTCGAGTACTCGATTATTGAAATTAATCTGTTTTTCCAATCACTAGTTAAGATCGGAAGCATGAACCCGCCATAAATGTCATGGCAATAAATTAAAAAAATCTCTCATAAATTAAATATCTCTTAAAAAACTACTTAACGTTTCAGATTTAACAGATTTCTTAAACAGAGGCATTCAAAATAACTGAAAACTGAAATTTATGTAAGTAGGCAGCCTATTCATACTTTTTAAGGCATGGTAATGGCTGAACAGCCAAAAAATGTATTTACAATATTTTTGCTGTTGGGTAAGCTAAGGAAATTCTGTATAAACTTTTATTTTAAAAACTCAATAATTAAAATATTCCCAAGTTGCAAACTTTTTGGCACATAGAATGGAAAAGACTAGATAAGTTAATACATAAAAACAAAGAAACATAACCAAAAAACTATTACCTTCCAGTTTTTTTCTTTTCAGCCAAGTAAAGCCTCTTGAACCTTGCATAAACACTACTAGTGGTTCTCTCAGGCAAATTTTGTGCTAAAAATTTAAGAAAATTTTGCTTCTGATGCTTATTAATAACCGTTTTATCCATCACAAAAAACAGTTCTGGATTATCACAAAATTCATATACCTATAAATGTTAGAAAATAAAATACCTTTTAAAAAGCAAAATGTAACCTTTACCTCACAAAACTTTTCCCAGTTTGCCCTAATCTGATCATCCTCACTTTTAGTATATTTTCCTGCTTTAATAGTTAGATTTAAATGAGCTATTTGTGCTTTTTGAGACGGAGTTGGCCTGGAAGATCTATCAACGATAGAGTGCAAAGGAGGAACTTCAAAATCTATTTCAATACTGAGATCTTTCAAGTCTTGCTACAATCAGGAAAAATCAATCATAAGTATTTTTTTTATTTAAACATGTTTTAGTGGAGCTTATATAAACGCATCTTACCACAGAGCTCCTTTCCTTTTCATGCAATTTAAAACTTCCTTCAATAACAGATTTATTAAAACTATAACTATCTGAACCGTCATCTTCTTCTTCAAAATAATCACTATCAATATCATAATTACTATTTAAAGTACTCTTATTACTATTTAATACGTCTCCATTAGTTGCAGATGACTTGTTAACTGATGAAATTCTAAAATAAAAAGAATAAATAGTAAATATTAGACACAATTGAAAGCAGGCCATCAATATCAAAGTCTACAGAATATAATTATTATTCTGTAATCTGCAATATATTCCACCCAAATTAGTTTGTTTTCTAAGGGCTCAAACGCACTGACGACCAGGTCACAGCGGCCTAAGAGCTCAAACGCAATATATATTCTAGGAGCTAAAGATACCCAACGCACTACTGCCGAACCCTGTATAGTATTTTAATACTTCTAGTTTTGAAGAGGAATATTGCTATAAAATATTGCCAATATTAATTAAAAAAATCAATTAATTTGTCATCTTCTAATAATTTTCTAAATATATTTCAAAAACCTTTTAATGGAACATGAATTAATGGCAAATACACTGAGCTAGAAAATATAAAATAGGTATAGCACTGCATTTAAAAATATACAACTTTATTCTGGATCACCCTGTATATCGATTTTTTTAAATGTGTCCAGCTATTGTACAGATATTTTATAAAAAGTCAAAATCTCAAATCAAATGTCACCCTATATTTTTGTAAACAAGGTAGTATTGAAAAAGTGAAATAGGAGATCTGATATTAGATCTGGATCATTGGGCCACCCAGTATTATAAATGAAATACACACATGCATAAAATCTAAAAAAAACTTACTTTAGGTTTGAGCCATTAACTGTATTATCATCTAATGTGACATCATTATTAATACATTGTTCGTTATCTTGGAAACCTGATTCTTTATCAGATAAATTATGATTTCCAACATTCGTTTTGTTTTTCTTGTGCTTCATTTTTTTCTTTTTTGTTTTTCCTGTCGAATCACTTTCAGAGTTACTGTTAGTACCCAATCCAGAATCTGCAATGCAATATTTTGTACTTTCACTCTCCTTTGCTTTATTTTTGAAACTTTTACTTGTCCTGCCTATTGATAATGAATTAACATTTTCAAATGCTAATTCAGTTTCAGATTTGCTGGTATCAAGAGTTGTAAATGATTCTAACATCTTTTTGTGTTTCTTCTTTTTCTTTTTTCTGTCACAATCATTTTTTAATAAATTCAGGATTTCTGTGTTTAATAAGTTCTCAATTTGTTCACTATTATGATCTTGATCTAAGCCATTCTTTTTCCCTATTTTTCTCTTTGTTTTACTTTTTATAACAACTTCATCATGAAGTTCTGAAATTTCTGTATTACTTTTCTCTGTTAATTTTGATTCATCATCAGTTAAACTACAATTGTGTTCATTATGAGTTACAAATTTTTGTTCTTTAATATTTTTATCTTCTCCATCATAAACTATTGCCTTATCTAAATTATTTATATGTTTCTTTTTTCTCTTTTTTCCTGTTAAATGTCCATTCACAGACATATTAATTTCATTTAGATATAATTTATCATCACTATATTGAACTTCAGAAGATTCTGTGTTACTTTTCTCTGTTAATTTTGATTCATCATTTAAACTACAATCGTGTCCATTATTTATTACAAATTTTTGTTCTTTATCATGTTTATCTTCTCCATCATAAAATGTTGACTTCTCCATATTATTTCTATGTTTCTTTTTTCTCTTTTTTCCTGTTAAATGTATCTCATTCACAGACATATTAATTTCATTTGGATATAATTTATCATTACTATATTGAATTTCAGAAGATTCTGTATTACCTTTCTCTGTTAATTTTGATTCATCATTTAAACTACAATTGTGTGCATTATTTATTACAAGTTTTTGTTCTTTATCATGTTTATCTTCTCCATCATAAAATATTGACTTCACCATGTTATTTCTATGTTTCTTTTTTCTCTTTTTTCCTGTTAAATGTAACTCATTCCCAAACATGTTACTATCAATTCCATCTGGATACAATTTATCATGACTATTATTGAATTTTATTGTATTGTTACTGTCATAGTTTATTTTTTCCTCCTTTAATTTTGCTTTCTTGGTTTTCTGTGGAAAATTAATTTCACTGTCATCGGCAGAATCTGACTTTATACTCAATATATCATTAAAATTGAAATTCAGATCATGATTGTCTTGAATTTTTTTCTTTTTTGCTTTAATTTCTTGTAGAAATACTATTTCATTTTTATTTTTACTATGGCTCAATTTATCTGTTTCAAATCCACCCTCTAAAACATTGTATTTATTTTCACATTGCTTATCTATTGAATTATTCATATTTAAGCTATGAAAGTGTTTTTTATGCTTATGTAAAGTTGCACCTTCTTCACTAAAACTATCTGCTGACCTAAAGAAAAATGTTATTACAAAATTAACTTCAAATTGCGTTTTATTACAAAAACATACCCCACTTTTCCTTTTAATTCAGATTGTGTTACTGGTGTAGAACTAAATCCTCTTTCAGAATGATCATTTGTAAAGTGATTAAACCCAACTGAATCTGTAACTTTCTTCTTCTTTGGATCTATACCCCATTCAACTACCTCTAACATTTTTCTCTTCTTACCAGGAGAACTAAAATCCATATTAGTTTATACATATTATTAAAATTGCATTAAAGAAAAATTTCTGTATATCTAAATAAACTTACAAATCTCTAACATTACTAGAACTTGTATATTCAGTTTCTGATGTACGTGAAGAAACTGGAGTGTTTGAAATACTGCCAGAACAACGAGTATTAATATTAGTTTTATTTCTTTCTTCTAAATCACTTTGTCGAAAACTGAAATCATCACCATTATGCTTACTATCTTGTTTAAGCCTGTTCATGATTTTATCTAAACTTCTACTCTTTTTCCTTTTCGTAGAGATGTTTTGGGAACTATAGACAATGCTGTCTTGGGACTGAGAGTTATTAGTTTCTTCTAGTTTCATTTTCCAATATATTTTAAAAAAGTGTGCTTAAATTTAAAATTATAACCTACAAAAGATTAAATAGTACGGACAATGTTTGTGGTCTGTGGTACGAACCTAACTTCGGAGCCTTGCTTCGGAGCAATACTTTTAGAAAGAACGCGTTCAGTTCAGATCTGTGGTGGATCATATAATCTAAAAGTTCTTGAACAGTTCAGATTGGTTCAGAGCTGTATATGACGAGGACCGCAGTTCGGATTCCGCGTAAACAAAGTAGGTCCCACCATGGATCATATCCGTAAATATTTTCTGTTGATCATGAGATTCAAAGATCATGATACATCTATTAACAATTTTTTTTACAAGCATCTCAAAACAGAAACGATTCCATCGACGTTGCCAGATTTACGAACTTTACTTTGAAAATTATTGGCGCCCTCTAGAGCACTTTCTGACTATACTAAAGCGGGAAATTTAAAACAGATTTGATGATTTGGTAGATACACTTATATAGTAATCGTCGTTCGATACTCAGATTAGGGCTTCATAACAAAAAAAAGAAACTAAACTAACGAACTATTTAGAAACAGATTGTTCTATGAAATAAATAATATATCCAACTAAGTATTTTAACCATTATGTAATTGCTGTCATGAACAAAAAATTAAAATTATAAAGAGAAACAATCAGAATACTTAATAATATTTTTATTATTTTAAACACTAAAATGCATTGTAAAAAATATTTGATTTACTTAAAAAAATATAAAGACGTAACTAGTATAATTTTTATCAGCAATCAAAATATTATATGTGTATTATATGTACATATATCTTGAAGTATTCTTTGATTCTAAATAAGTCTAGAACGTAGCCAATAGTATGCAAATTGTACCTAAAAAATTCACATATCTAATTAATTATATAATTATTCTGCTTTTATATATTACTCAGCTTTTCAACCGAACAAGTTTCCAACATATAAATATAGCTATGTGCAACAATGGTTATATTAGGTATATTTTTTGGGTAAATAAATATATACCTGGGATAGGCATCTATAAAAATGGATATCTGTGATAACTAATTATTCTAAACCTCAAATTTGGTATAATATATACTACATAGTAAAAAAAATGCATATTTTATAGATATACTCTCCATTTTATATTAATGACCCATCATTTTCTGAACCACATCTGAAATTTGGTATAAATTTTGTATTACAAAAAAGTGATTTATTAGATAGAAATACCAAAGTTTACAGAATAAAATATAAGTTCCGTCACTTGTGCCGGCGGCAGGTATCAAAAGCCGCTTCACGCACGTGTTTCTCAGTGTATTACTGGTGTGTGGACTTTGGACCCAGCATACACGGCGGATCACGTTCGGCGTATTACTCTGATTTTGGCATTATTACAGAGTGGTCTCGCATGCATATGGAATTATTTTTCAAGTGATTATTTAATTTTCATTACAAAATGTTACTGATCACATTAGCCTTAGTTAATTATTTATTAGTTTATTATAAAAAAGGCATAATTATTTTTATTATTTCTTAAAAATAATATTGAGTTTTTCGCCACTGGAAAAAATATTATTTAAAATATCTAATTAGAATTATTCAAGAACACTTTATTTTTTTACACGAAAAATCATATACTGGGTGTGTCTCAAAAGTGGCTTATCCCTATAACTTTTTTATTTTTTTAGATAAAAAAACGAGATTTGGTGTGTTAGTATATGACCTAAATTAGGATTGATTAACGTTTTCAATTTTTTCTGGTCACTTCCGGTTTCACCGAAAATGACTACAACTTTTGATTTTTTAAACGGCAACCTCGGCATTTTTCTACTTTATTCGATAAAAATGACACTCTGAATAGAATGACATATCATATGTCAACTTTTGGCATTCTAGCTTAAAAAAAATCTTTAAAATTTCAATATTGAGTGTCACAGCTCTTTTAAAAACAAAACTTTAATCAAGGAGCCCTGGGAAAAATAGATTTGATCGTCTAATGTTTTCCATGTCTTGTCTTGGCCGGTTAAAAGATGCCCAAATGGTATTTTTAACCATATCTTAATTTTTTCAAATGGAGAGAGGGTGGCTCATTAGTATATTTAGAAAAAGTATTTTTTACGAATAATTTCATGCCACACACTTGGTATTTCGAGTCAAATTGTCGTTATAAACCGCGTGTTACACTTTCAAATAAATCATATGTGAAACTGTTAAAAGCTGATATATGATATGTCTTTCTACTCAGAGTATCATTTTCTATCGAATAACGTAAAAAAATACCGAGGATACCATTTAAACATCAAAAGTTGTTGACATTTAATAGTTTCAGCTTTGAATTTTATAGTGTACGTAATTCGTGTTGGAAAACCATATTACGCACTCATGGAATACTGCACTCGTGCGTAATATTATTTCTTCCAAAACACTCGTTACGTAATATACTTTTACGTTATTTACTGTTGATATTGTGTAGCTTTATTTTTTGTGTTTGTTTTTAAAATTTATTTTATTTTTGCTATATCTTTTTTATCTTGCCATGTCTAAATATTTATATGTAATACACCAATAAACTGATTTTGAAATACCCCACGTTCCCCTGCACCTTGTCGCACCTTGCGATCGGTAAAAATGCGGTTTCTATTTACCCCGGCTTCCACTCCTGTTTTCATCGAAATCCGGCGTATCGGACGAGGCGGCTTCTGGCTTTTGATACGCGATTTTCAAAGTGCCGATGCTAAGTGACCGAACTTATATTTTATTCTGTAAACTTTGGAAATACTTCCTATTTTAAAATATACATTTATTTTGTATCTACATTCCATAAATCTTGAAGTATGATATAATTCTATAGCAAAAATGTGTTAGCAAAAATTAAATAATATTCTTCACTTTTATCAGATATAAATACATCACTTTGTGGCTGAAATTTCATTAACTTGAATCTAAAACTTGGTATAATATAAAAAAAATATGATTTATTAGACAGATATACTCTCCATTTTTTAGATTAATCATTTTGTGGTTATATATAACGATCCATGAATCTGAACCTGAAACTGAGTATAAATGTATAACAGAAACTTAATTTTATTAGATATACTCTCCTTTACTATCACAATTTCTAGAGATGAGCGGGGCATGTATGAAATTAAAATATTAACAAAACTGAAAGATTGTGAATCAGTTTCTCAATTGCTGAATGATCCTTTTAACATTTATATATCAATTATGGGGTATCTTTTTGGATACTTAATATTACATACTGAATTAAGTATACACTTAAAAGAGTACTTACTTCAAAATCTCATGACGTTGCAAAATAACATTGCAATGTCAAGACCTATGTTCATAGTTAAAATAAAAAAGCACGGTATATATTATATTATTATATGGTTACATATTTGTGCTATACTTTATATGTATGTTTAAAAAAGTGAAGCTAAAAGAAATTAAATTAATTCACACTTCTACAATAATCGTGGTCTATAGCTTGATCATTAGAAATAAATTCACATTTTCCATGAATAAAATTCTTAATAAATTTGGTTTCATCTTTATCTGGCTTGGAAATTTTAGTCTTTTTCAATGTACGCTTTTTCTTTGTGGAAAAGAACCTAATTTGTTTTTCAATTTTCTTATTAGCTGGTTCTGCTTCAGATTTAGGTAGCTTGGTAAAATTTATATTATTTGAAGTAGTGGCCTCAATAAAACTATTTTCTTTTTTCAAGCAACTTGCAACATGTTTTAAGAGAGTTCTGTTTGGATTTTTTAACAGGTTATTCTGTAGTTTTAACGTTTCAGAGGATATTATTTGCATTAATGTATCATTGCTTTGATAGGACTGCTCCCCTTTAAGACTATTTATATATTCTGTTAGAGATGCTCCAGGATTTTCAGTACTTTTATGTTGAAGCAAATTATTTTTTTTAATTATTATCACATGAATATGCTTGCAAATAGTATGTTGTATTAGAAAATCTGGGCAAGTGCAACTATAGGAATGAATACATATATCACACTGTGAGCATATTAGGCTGCAACAATTTTCAACTTCATTTTTACAAACTATATAATTACTGTCTAACTCTGAACAACTAGATACAGACCATTTATAGGTAGCACTATCATTTTCATCTATAATATCTCTAACTTCACAATTACTTTCTACTGCAATATCATGTCTTGATTTAATTGTTCTTAAATGGATTGAATTTTTGCCTTTAATTTTCTTGATTACTCTTTCGAGTGCTTTATCTCTAATAAACAAATTTAAAGCATTTAATATCTAATCTTTTTACCTTTTTGCCGTCTAAATATATATGTTTTAACACTTTGTGCATATTTTCTAAACGCATATTAGTATTAATTCCACAATTTAAGCGATAGCAATATGCCCATTGCATATAATTTGATAAATAATTTCCTGCAAAATATTGTCCAAAATTAACAGTTGCTTCATTCTTACCCCAATCATTTATACTCTTTGTTAATAATTCATGAAATTCTTCTTTAGAATTTGTTGTCTGTAATACTTTTAATGACTGATAGACTAAAGTTTTAAGTTCTGGTGAATTTACTTTACTTAAATTAGAACATGCATGCGATCTACGTGCCATGCACAATATAGTTGTGATGGCACTTCACCCATTTCTTGTTTCCAAGCATTATAAAAGACATGTGTAATATCAGACATAAAAACCTTAGGTTTTAAAATACCAATATTATCTCTAATATTTTTAAACAGCAATTGAAAAACTAATGTATCTTTACGGTTTGTTAACATACATGCTCCAGGAAATCCTTCACCCCACTCATCCACCACTAAAAGTGTTGTTAGTTCAAAATCGTAAGCATTCATTCCATGAGTACTATCTATTGCAACTATGTTTTCCGCAAACATTTTCAATATGTCTTGTTGCACTCTGTTCATTATAATGATGCAAAAATCCTCCTTTTTTAAAACACCTTCATTTTCAACTCCCTGTGGTTTATAAAATATTATAGGATTGCTTTCCAGGTTTGAACATTCCTGAACAAACATTTCATTCAACGTTCTGGGAAATATGAAGGTTATTTAAAAATATATGGAATTCTAAAAATAAATAGGATAAAATTAGTAAAATTGAAAATTACATATCCATCTTAATTTTAATATTACCATAATAAATAGGTATCTACTAAAATACGTACTACGTACCTTCAATATTAGGGAAATGTAACTGTTCAGTTTCCATTTTTAAATTATGTACTGTACATAAATGAGTTATTAAATCCTTATTAGACCTAAAAGAAATATTACACCCTTCTAAGCACTGAAAGGATTTTTCATCCTTTTCATATACTAAAATAGCATTTTTATGCACCATCTTTAAATGTTTATTCAAATTTCCTATATTGGAAAATGTTTTCAAACACTTGTTGCAAGTATTCATGATTTTACAATTCATCAATAAGTAACAACAATCTAAATCAAAGAGAAATTAAAATTTTAATTTTCAAAGCTGATAAAGTAAATAATCGCCCTCATAGACAAATCGCCCTTTATCGGTCTTCAACACATCAAAATAGGCGGCAAATCTTCTAAAATATAACCTCCAAAACTAATGACAGTAATGACAATTGACGCAGATTGACATGTAATATTGCAATATGGCAACATCGATGGAATCTCTTCTGTTTTGAGATGCTTGTTTTTTTTTTCAGTGTACATAACTGGTTCAGACAGATAAAATTTATTTCTAAAATACTTAGAAAAAGGATTTCTTATAGGTGCAGCGGGTGCAGCTATTGCTATTAACTTCGTGTATTGTCAAAAGAAACGTTTCTTTAAATAAAAATAAAAATAAAAAACCTGCTTTTAGAACAATCACTTTAATTTTTATATACTATAATAACATCACAAAAAAATATTTTTATAAAAATACATTTTTACCACTGATCAATATTTAATAAATTCGTTTTCCTCCATTATTTCATGTTTAGTATTGTTCAGAAACATTTGACTTCTTTCTGACTATAGCATGTGTATAAAACTCTTACTTAAACTCTGGATTAACAACTTATTCACAAAAATTTGTAAAACATGATAGTTTATGAGGGTTATTTGAAAAGTTGCTGACATTAGTATGATTTTTTGTAAATTTGAAAAATTGTTTATGGAAATGTTGAAGAAAATTTTCGACGAAAATCTTTGTTTTCTGATAGCAATAACTTCATTTTGGGCAGTTTTCAGCTTGGGAAACAAAAATAGGTCGCTCAGAGCTAAATCTGGCCAATACGGAAGGTAGTCTACAGTTCACACTGTAACTTGTAAATAATTGGCATACCAACAGCAGATGCTTGAGATGGATGAGCATCGTCTTGGTAAAACAAAAGTTTCTTCTTGTACAGGTGTGGCTTTTTGCTGCGATTTCTGCCTTCATTTTGTCAAATAATGTAGTATAGTATTCTCATTTAGGTAATGATTTTGAGTTTTCACTTTCTGAAGGTCAGAAAGTTTTCAAACTACCCTCGCATAATAATGTTATATTTAAATGTTCAGTTAATTCGTTGCCAAACCAACGTTGCCAAATTTATCACTTATAAAAATAAATTTGTTAAAAACAGATTAACCCCCAAAGAAGCTGAAACCAAAGCAATCAAACCTCTTTCGTGCACCTTTGTGCATCTGGCTGTACCGTGCAACTTTACAACCCGCAGTTTTGCACGCGTATAAACGATAATCGGTCGGGTATTTCGCCTGCAATCTAAACAAAAAAAAACTTACCCCAGAGACTAACCAACGCAATCAAAATACGCCTACGGTACGTTTTGATTGCTATTACCGACAACTATACATAAATAAAAAAATATAAACAGCTGTAAAAAAATAAAAAAGTTTTATATTTGTTGGGCTCAATTCCGGGACCCCTCCCTCCTGAAGCAACTGCCTTACCAATGGAGCCACAGCTGCTCCTGCAAACTTGGCTATAGCTAGGCGTAAAGCGGCCCATACATTATCAAACAAATTGCGCAACACAGACTGTTGTGCAACGAGTTGCCGATGTATGGTAACACTTAATGCGTTGCGTAATTGTTTGATAAGTTTCAAGAATGTTTGAATTCTTTTGTGCAACAGGCGTTTGCGTAGTGTATGTGTGTGTTGCGCTTCGTTGTGCAATATTTTAGCTCTTTCATCCAAATTCTTTGTTTTCTTTTTCGTTTTTTGGTATCATTGACATCATCTAGGGTATATACGATAATAATTGACGCAATGGCAATTGAGGACATGATTGTTTCTCAAACAATGCACAAGTTTTAATAAAAAGTTTGATCAAAATTCTACTAAGTGAATGGGTGATGCAGTTGTGCAACGGAACGTTGCGCAACTTGTTTGATAATGTATGGGCCGCTTTACTTTCCGCCGTTCGACTGAGGACTAATTACGCAACTATGCCTTTCCTCCAATATGGCGACCGCCAGTAAAATTCGGCAATATTGGTTTGGCGGCGAATTAAGGAATCATATGTTTAACATCTTGCTTCTTTGTATTGTAAATGAGGTTCATCTTTAATATGAACCTCTTCCTGTTTTATATCTTCAATGAGAAACATCTCATCCCCGTTATAGTAACTTAGACTATTATCTTCAACTACCTCTCTTTCATCTTTAATATGAATCTTTTCCTGTTTTATATCTTCAATGATAAACATCTCATCATTAAGATTTTTAATTTTATCCGTGTTATAGTAACTTAGACTATTATCTTCAACTACCTCTTTTTCATCTTTAATATGAATCTGTTCCTGTTTTATATCTCCAATGAGAAACATCTCATCAAAATTTGTAATTTTATCCTTGTTATAGTAACTTAAAGTGCTATTATCTTCAACTACCGCTTTCTCAGTCTTTATAGTTTGTGAACTAAAGCTTGTATAATTATTTTGTTCGCATTTAATGCTATCCATTGAGAATTCTGCTACTGTATTTTCTGTACTTAGATTATTATCGTGTTTTATTTCTTCCTCAGCTATTTGGATAGCACTATTATTTACACTGGAAGATGCCTTACGTTTTTTCTCTGGTTTACACTTTGGATTTGTACTATTGTGTTTTATTTTTTCCTCAGCTCTTTGGATAGTACTATTATTTACATTTGAAGATGCCTTACGTTTTTTCTTTGGTTTGCACTTTGGATTTGTACTATTACCGTCTTTGTAATATGACTTAAAAATCATTTCGCTTTTTAAATTGCTCGATGTTATTCTACTCAGTTCCTTTAGACAGTCTGAAAGAAAAGTAAAACAATAATTAGAATGTATATATATCCTAAAAATATTTGTTTTCTTTAAATTGTTGTTCTTAATATTTGTACAGAAAAAAACAAAAAGTTAACTTTAACATAACAAAGGGAGGAAATTCAGCATGTCCAATAGTTTTGATTTACTCTGTATACCTATATCAAAATAATGTTTATATCATGCAATTTTTAGTACTCTCATTTTTGAAAACACTGTTATGTAGAACAAAATATTTCCGGTTAAAAAGTATAAGTAACTTGTAAATTTAGTCTAAAAATGGTAAAACTTCAAAAAAAACACGGTATAGAATATGACGTTACGGTATTTTTGGAATAGGAACCAGTGGTGGCTCGTCAGGGTAGGCAAGGTAGGCGGCGCCTACCCCAAAATTTTGGCAGAATTTAAGGGGTTTATTACAATACATTATTTACTATCCAATACATAAAAATACTGTTAATATAGGGAAGTGTGTTTTAATAATCAATATTATTTTAATATTTGTGTTCTTGTATATTAAAATATTCACTATCGCTGGCGTACGCTGACTGTGCCGCTGCAAAAAAAATAATTTTGACCGTTGGAGTGCCTTTGTACGGCGATTTCTCCATCGCCTACTATCAGAGTCGATGCACGAAGTACGGCAGTCTTCTGTCTCTGTCTAACTCGTGCGGTAGCGACGCGACGTGAGTTGTATCGTATTAAAGCGGGGCTTAGGCGAAATCTCCGGTCGCCTTCGCATGAAGTCGTGGAGGCTCGGTAGGATTAGAAGTTAATGAGATATTCCCTACATTTCATAAGGGGATATATCAATATTTCGTTAAGGGAATATTTCATATGATTCAGGATACGTAGCATTTAAAACTTTTATATGAAAATTAAAAAAAACGTTTAAAGCAAATTGGAAACATTTTTCGGACTTGTCCGAGATTATTCAAAATGATAAGTGTGTTAAAATGTGCGGTATTAAGTCTATGGAGGTACGTACCCAAATACGTTTAAATAAAATATACGACGGCCTCCCCATAAGAGCAATGAGAGGATTTACGTCCCAGTATTGAAGGAGGACAGAAAATCGAGTCGAATGTTCAAGACATAGGTTCATCCTTATTTAGTCAAACCTCCTACAAACCAAGGATAGGCTTATGTAGGAAATGCATTGAAATTCTATAGCCATCCTTCAATATCGGGACAGGAATTTAAGCGGTACCCTCCGTATACTTTATTTTAAACGTATTTGTACGTACCTCATTCTCAAACCAGAAAGCTGATGTAGAGCTTTTTAGGAACTGGGTTACACTTATAAACATATTTTTAACATGTGCAGTTCCATTTATAGCATTTTTTTTATAATAAAAACTAGCTGATCCGGCTAACTTACCTAAAGTACCGCTTAATTAGCAATTAGTCCAATCGCTTCAGACATTTTCAACAAAAAAATTAGAGAGTCGGAACTTTTGACGGATAGTTTCTATTTGATATATCACTCTTTATATCACTAGAGTTGTAACGTTCGGGAAAGAACGAATATTTTTGAACGAATCAGCTAACGACAAGCTTGATTTTCTGCGTCCGTTAAGCTTGATTTTCATGCATCCGTTGTCCGACGATACGATATTAATTTTATTAGTTGAATTTAAAGACTTCGATTGGTTAGAAACGGTTAACCAATCGAAGCCTTTAAATACAACCAATGAAATTAATATCGTATGAACGTATCGTTCATACGATCGTATACGATCGTATCGGATGCATGAAAATCAAGCTTTATCCGTTGATACGATGGTCCGACGGCGCGGAGCTCTGATTGGTCATAGCGTTTTCGCGCCACTTTTCATCCTTAAATTTTTTACTCCAGCCCGTCAACGGAGAAACATAACGATAACGGACGTTTTGGCACTTTTTTGACAAATTTAATCTAACCTAAGCTAGCAATGTCGGGAAAACGAGAATTTTAAGAAAGCTGGTTCTTTAATATATCTCTTGCTATGCTCTCCTGACCAAAATGCGGGCCATCTGGATGCCGGTCGACTATTGCGGTTTTATGTTCAGTGTTGCCACAGCTACCCCGTTTAAGGTAGATCTACAGCTTTTGAAACTCATTCAACTTTTTATATGTATATAATTTTTGGTATTTTTTTTTTGTATTTGTTATACAAAAAAATATGTAAAAATAGGGAATTTAATATGTTAGTCATGTTGCTCCGCACTGTCCCCCTTATTTTGTGGTTGTCTACCTAGACTGACCCAGATAAAAAAAGAGTTTGTGACACTAAAAACTGACCATGTCAGCAGAACCACGATCGTCTCGTAGTTGTCTCTGGTTCTATCTTATTAGCTAGCTTATTCGCCCCAAGCGAGGCCCCAAGACAACGGTGGCAACAGCGTCACCTTACTAGTAGTAGGAATGTGCCACTTTTGTTTTGTAGGGATAGTGCGATTTTTATTTTACTACAACAACGTATATAAAAACAGTAAATTTATACTATATTAGAGAACGGCATACGGTCGAGTCGGCCGCTGCTGGCACGTATACGTAGACGTAAAGAATCTTTTACGTGTATAAAAAATAAAAAATATAAGAAATGCGCATGCGTACGTAAACGTTTACGTGTTTGTAGGCCGGCTCGACCGTATGCCGTTGTTCTCTATTTATTAGCACGCATATTGAAGCACTATAGACTATACGTGCTTTAATTATTTCATAACTTAAGCAAGTATAGTGCTTTAATATGAAACATCAGCCCTTCATATAACCATATAAAGCCATCACTAAAAATCACAGACTAGCCTATAAAGTCTTGGATTTTATGTTTTTGGCGATTTTGCCTCTACATTAAGATCGACAAAAAAAAGTTTTTTTAATCTCACTCAAAAATGAGTTATTTGGGTCACAAATGACCTAAATACAAAATATTTTCATAGTGTCTGTCTGTCTATCCGTCTGTCTGTAACATGATAACTCAAAAACCCCTAAACCGATTTTAACCAAATTTTGGCACAAACATACTGTGGCACCCGAGAATCTGGCCATTAGTTTTTGGTGGGGGTGGGGTGTTGGTAAGGGGGTATGGGAGGGGGTTAAAAATTTAAAAAAATCGTAACTCCAAAATTACAGTAGCTAGCGAAACGCGGTTTTCAATTTTAGATTAGGAATAATATTTGCAACAAAATTTGTAATAACATCAAAATCAGTTCAAAGTCGCAGTTTTTGAGATATTCCGTGTTTCCGTAGTCCGTTTTTGAGAAAATCCGTGTGGAGAACTCCAAACTCCCATCGGACGCGACCCCAGGTGGCGGATAAGGGAAATAACCGCCGACCAAAATTGGAAAAATTCCTTTACTTTGAAACTGAAAGAACTGCCTACTAACTTTTTATTAACATATTTTAGTATGGGCGGCTATACGTGCCTTCCGGCGCCAATTTTTTTCACAAAAAAAGGTTAAGAACAAATTTGATGAAAATTAAATTCTCTACAACCTTTGTATAAGAAATTTTGTAAAAAACATATGTTTATGGCTATTACTCCAACGTTGCCATTCCAACACGGTTGTCGATTGCTAAATTTCATGTTCATTCCCTGAAACTTAACAGAGAAACACGAAAGAAAACAAACGAGGGGCTGAGAAAACGAGATCCCTGTTCCCTGCACGGTCTATTTTTACACACAACAACGCTCAGATAAACGGTCAGACGCTGAGCAAAAAGATGCTCAGCGGTCAGTGAGCTGCTGTGTCCCATTAAGGCCCACATCATGCACATTATAGCGCATATTGACAGTATGTTCTCCAAAACCTGCACAGGTTCTTTTTTAGTGCAGTTTGTTTAGAAAACACGATGGAAAACAAAATTATCTGGTTAAATTAAATAAAATAAAATAACAAGACACTTTTACTAGGCTGATTTATTTTATCAAGTTAAATACGTAATGCATTTTTTACCTTATTGATGAAAATAAGTATAGGGTATAATATATTTTTAAAAAGCTCATAACAAGACAAATAAAATAAAAAATCATATATAGGGTGTTCCATTAAAAAACCATAGGTTTGACTCATATTTAGAAAATAACAACTCCTAGCGAAACCTCTACAGATCACAGTTTTCACCTTTTATCTTATCTCTTAGTTCGTATTTCACGAACTAAGAGGTCTACGACAAATCTGTGTGCAGCATCTTTAGTTTCATCAAAAAGTAGCATAGTAATGTGAAAACCGCATATTTGCATCTCTCATAAACGAATAAACGAAAAACCTCATAAAACACACGAAAATAGGACACCCTGTACAGTTAAACGTTATACTTACATTTATAATCTGTTCTTCCATGTGAAGGAACAAAAGTTAATATCAAACTACTTATCAAACTTTTGAGCTTTTCTTTAGTGAAACCTTGAAAATATTTAACGTACATTTGCCATTTAACACTTTTCCAATCACGTGCATTACTTTCTCTAAGCCTAGAAATTAAAAAAAAAGTAGTTTAATCCATAGTTGAAATAGTATAGTGTGTTCCAAAAAAAAAAAAAAACAGCATCAAGTTGGCTTCGACACTCTTTCGAACTGACATCTTAGGCTCAAGGCTGTATTCCGTTGCAAAACCGGGCGAACCAGACCGGTAAACTAAGGTAAAGGTAAGGTTCCTGAAAAACATCGGTTTGATACGGAAAGGTTTGGTAAAATAATGGAAACGTCAAACGTCAAATGATGTTTTCTAAATGTCAATACCTCTATTATAAAATTTATCTTTTATGCATTTTTAATGTACCTATTCCCTGTTTTTATGTTTGCTTCTTCTTTTCAATGGAGTTTAATAATGAAAAGTACTTTATTAATAAACTGTTAAACTCGTTAGACAGCTCAAGTGAAGATTTGTAGGTCCAATATTAAAACAGATCAATAATAAATAAACAAATCTAATCAATATTTATATTTTTATAGCTTACAAAACATTCACGATTACTTGTTGTCTTGTTCCTGACTTTAAGAAACAATGGCTAAATGATAAGTTTAAATGGTCCTAAAAAGTCATTCTATTTAGTTAATGAAATTTATTTACCTTTACTGCCTACCTCCATTGCTTTTAGATGTAAATACAAAATATTGTTAGATTCTATTTTAAATATATGAATTTGGCGCTCTTTTTAATTATTTGGTTGCTCACGCATGTGCGCCTAAAAGGCGGGACGCGAACGACAGTGAAGGAATAGCGTCGCCGCGGTAGTCACTGCTTGACATTAACCGCGAATTCAAAAGAATTTAGGTGGAATCAGGTGTGGGGTAATAGAATCAGGTGTGGGGTAATAAACCCGGGTGGTTTTCGTGTGCCTGTGAATTTTGTGTGACTTTATGCTAATTAAATTAGCAATGACCAAGCGTGCTACAATCGAATCTGTGCCCATCTTCAACGGCGGGCATTGGAAACTCCGCCTATACGAGTGGTTTGTAAAAATAAATTGGTATGAAACTGAATTTCGTTGGTCTGATCGGGAAACTGTAAGTAGAATTGGCCCCTTTTTACTTAAATATGCTAAACGATGGTTTACTGCATGGAAACCCACTCACGAAAAATGGAAAAATTTCAAAACAAATTTTTCAGCTGTTTTTTCATAAAAAAAATACCAAATTCTGGATAAGCTCATGATCGATGCATATAACTTTCAAAATTGCCATGCCCATAGTAACATTGAGTAAGCACGCATAAAACTTGAGAAATTAAAATTGCTCTCTTGTTGTTTCAGAAAATATTGAGAAAAGGTTTAGTCAATTTAAAAAGTGATATTAATAACATCAAAGTACGAAGTTAACACTGTGAAAGTTCTTTTAGAAACCAAGATAATGATACAGGTTTTAGAACTGAATTTTAGATCTATAGCTCCGTAGTTTTAGTAGAGTTTTGTAGTTTTATATGCCATATTCAAACCAAACTTACGATCATCAATAAACGTAATAAAAGGTTCTGACAATACGATAAACATGTAATTATTAAATTAAAACAGAAAAAAAATAAGAAAAAAAATACAGATTTAAGTGTTCAGCTAAAATCATTAATGTACAGGATTTTTAAGATGTCGAATAGCATAAATTGGATTTATTTTAAATAACGACAGATACCACATTTCCATTTCGCGTGGTTTTAATCATGTTTTAACTATAAAATAAAACATATCCCCGATATTTTTTCTGGTATCAATTGTATTACAAAACTAATTAAAAGTTATGATAAATTTATTTGTACTAAAGATTGAAGAAAAGTACCAAGAAAGGCTGGGCATTTGATAAAGCGAAGCCAATAAGTCGATTCCAGAGCTATCGAATTTCAGTTCTAAGAAACTTATCAGTTAAATGTTGTTCCATATTTTTCTCAACGCAAGTCTAATGAAGTGTCTAAATATCAATCATGAGACCTTGGCGACTGTTTATAACTCGGTGCTTTGTCAGTATTTTACGAAGTCAGATATTTTTTTTTACTCTTTTCTTTTGTGTAGCGATTTCAAGCTTATGAGTATTGATGAGTTAACAATTTTAGTATTGAATACCGAAATGGTGTTATTTTTCAACGGGGCCGACTATTCCAGATGAAGTCGAATTGAAAATGTTTGTCAACATGGCCTACTGGTAACTGGTTAAAAAAATACAGAAATATGACACCGAAACAGAAACTTAAGATAATTTTTGTTAAAATAATATTATTTAAAAAAAATATGTGGCCAACTTCTTTTTATATAAAAGCTTTTGTGTCGAAGTCGAAAGGCAGCCGTTTTGATTTATTAAGATTGTTTTCCGACAAGCAGTGTTACGTTACAACTGAAAAAAAGATCTTTTGTGAACTAAACCATTATTTTTATTTTAACTCATGGATCAATTTGTTAAGAAGTATTATGATGAATGCTTAAAATGTATTGTTACTAAAAACATACAGTGTAGGTACCTTTTTAAGTACCGCATGACATGAGAGTTTCGAATTTTTATTACTCTTAATCGACGGCTTTTGTAAAAAGGCGGTATCACAGGAAGTTTAGAAAAAGTACATGTTATAGAGGTATTCATTTCACCGATAAATAACTATAAGTACTATAAAAAAAACACGAGAATAAATAACGGTGTTCGAGATATTGAAACGCTGACTAAATCTACGAGTATTACTTGACGTTCCGAAAAATGTGTAAAAATATTGAAAACTACGAACGTAGTAGAAAGCAAGCTGTTTATGTAAAAGAAAGGATTAATTGAATTATCAGTATTTGTGATTATCTCTCCAGATGTAACCATTAGCAAAACTTAAAAAAAAAAGTATTTTCGATTTTTTTTGAGGTTGTAGAAATTATTGCAAGAAATTTGATGATGATCCAGCAATTCTCCGTAAAATAACGCTTTGCAACCTGTTGATTTTGTTGAAAGCCAGTTTCTTTGTAAAATAACGCTTGACACCGCCATGATTTTCAATCGAGCGGTACATTGCGAACAATAACAAATTTGCTAAGAATAAGTTGAAGAAATCGTCAGTTTGGCCGAACAAAGTTTTGTGGGACATTATGCCATTAAACAGTTATTGGCTAATGAGCGATATTCAATCCGGAAGTTGGCCGCGCAAACAAAGCTTTAGTGTTCTAAGGACCAGTTGCGTTACTGGCCATCTGATTAGACTCCTGAAGACTTTCAGAATCTAGTAGAACTAAACAGTTGTAAGTTGTAAATTAGGCTCAATGAAAAAAAAAATAAAGAAATCAGACTATTTTTGTTTTTTTTTATTTAGTTTAATTTTATAACATTCTGGGCCGTGTTAGATTGAAAAGTAAATAATTAGCTGACCCATCGTAAATATGTGCTTCTGGCAATATTTCCATCGTGTCAGTCTAAATCTAAATGTAAATTATTTTTGTTACGTTCATTACTGGCAAATAACCCATCGCAAATACATATGTACATGTCATACTATTTCCATCGTGTTATCCAGTAATTTTAAACTGACCCATCGTAAATATGTGCCTCGTGCAATATTTCCATCGTGTCAGTCAAGAAACTTTGTGATTTTAAACTGACCCATCGTAAATATGTGCCTCGTGCAATATTTCTATCGTGTCAGTCGAGAAACTTTGTGATTTTAAACTGACCCATCGTAAATATGTGCCTCGTGCAATATTTCCATCGTGTCAGTCGAGAAACTCTGTAATTTTAAACTGACCCATCGTAAATATGTCCCTCGTGCAATATTTCCATCGTGTCAGTCGAGAAACTCTGTAATTTTAAACTGACCTATCGTAAATATGTGCCTTGTGCAATATTTCCATCGTGTCAGTCGAGAAACTCTGTAATTTTAAACTGACCCATCGTAAATATGTGCCTCGTGCAATATTTCCATCGTGTCAGTCGAGAAACTTTGTGATTTTAAACTGACCCATCGTAAATATGTGCCTTGTGCAATATTTCCATCGTGTCAGTAGAGAAACTCTGCGATTTTAAAATAGCCCATCGTGAATACGTGCCTACTGAGTACATATTCCCATTGTGCCATTCAATGAATTGTTATCAATAGAAGTAAACTGATATTGACGTCAGAGTAGTCTGACTCTTGTCTGACTAACGTCCTTCATCCTGTCTTTATTTCAGCAACTGGCATGGAGATAGTCGAGTGTGCTGAATCTCAACCCAAAATCTTTGAAACGTAACGAAGTTTAGCTTTGAATGTTTAATTACATCTTGATATACATTATGTATAGCATAATCTTAACGCATATGTTGAAATACAAAATTAAAGTTTTCTTGTTATAGATCATAGGCCTCTTATTTTTTCTGTTTTGGAACTTGTACATTCCGAGAGCGGAATGATGTCAGTTTGGCCGTGTTAGATTCTATTTTAAATATATGAATTTGGCGCTCTTTTTAATTATTTGGTTGCTCACGCATGTGCGCCTAAAAGGCGGGACGCGAACGACAGTGAAGGAATAGCGTCGCCGCGGCAGTCACTGCTTGACATTAACCGCGAATTCAAAAGAATTTAACAATATTATTACAAATTTTAGAAATTAAATGAAAATTTCACTAGAACTTCCAATATTTGCTTGATTTCTGTCACATAAATGACATTGATTGACAAACAAAACCAGAAAAACCAGCGCTGGTTAGTCTGGTGACAGTTATAACCGAATTTTTCAGGAACCGTGTTCCGTAATAAGAAAACTTTCAGGAAACTAATAGAAACGGAACATAAAACCATAACCAAGGTAAGCAACGGAATATACCCTTAATGAGATTCCTGCATTGGATATGGTTTTACATTTAAGATGACAGATTCTTAAGCCAACTCCAACGTCGTTTTTTTTTCTTGTTGACTAATTTTCAAATTAATCTCTTTTCGTTATTAAGGTTTATATATTTTTATAAAGATATATATGATAAGAATTTAATGCTAATTTTCTACCTCAGTAAGTAGATACTGGTAACCTAGATACTTACCTTTTTATAAGGAGTATTGTAACTGATCGCAAATCACAAAAAACATTAGGAATAAATAATCGAATATGAATATCCATTAACCAGGCAAACTTTATATCCTTATGTGGTATATTCATTAAGTTAGATAATGCTTTAAATTGATCTATTGTAATGCTTCTATTCCTTAAATCAGTATAGTGATTCACATTTGTTATCCTTATTAAGTTTTCTACTAACAAATGTGTCCTAGGTTCTGTCCATATAATTTTGTTCCTATTGTTTCCTTTCAAAATGCTGATCCTATGAAGTATCAGGCTATAGGGTTTATTTAGATTACTAGCTAACTTATAAAGTTCTGTTTTGGGTTTGTACATTTTCTTTGCAATATATTCATCTTCTTCAACAGTGAAACTAGCATAAAAAATAATTAATTTATAACAGAGGTCATATCATAATAGAGTACTTACATCTCCTTCTCTTTTATCTTTTCTGGTGAAACAAGTCTTTTAAATCTATTATAAACATTATTTAAGGTTCTATTTGGTAGACCTTCTGCCAAACTTATCAAAAAGAGTTGCCTGTTTTTATCACTAATTTTAGGATCATGTAAAGAACAAAACATCTCTGGATTGTTTTTTAATTTGTGAACCTAAAATTTTACAATAAAACTATTCCTAAATTTGAAAATGGTTATTTTTTTACCATAATAAACCTGTCCCAATTCTTCCAAATCCTACAATCTTCATCTTTAGTAAACCTTCCTGTTTTAATCGATAATTTTTGTTCATCAATTTGATTTTGCCCTAACAATGTTGGTTTTTGAGTAGTGTTTAAATTTTCATACTTAGCTTTTACAACTTGATGCAAAGGCGGAATAACTTTAAAGTCGATTTTTATATCAAGAGAATTAAAATCATCCTGTTAAATTGAAAACAATTAATTCTTGACCTAATCTAAAATAATATATTGTTTTAATACTTACTACTGTGCTGATGTTGTATTTTGCTTTATTTTTAAAGGCTTTCTTTTCTCTAATTTGTTCAGAATCAGTATCTTCAATGACAATTACTAAAATTAAATTTCAGAGTACTTTTGTAGTACGCACATAAAACATGCCTCATGTTAAATAGAAAGACATGATTGTAGTCTTTGATTAAGAATACTGTAGTACCTACCTTCATCATTTGATGAATTTTGATCTTCCTTTATCTCACTGTTTATAGAAAGAGTATTATCACATATATCTGTATCACTATTCTCATCTAATATGATGATACAATCATCTTCAGATTTGTCTTTAGTTTCTAATTTTATTCTTTTTGTTGCAACAGGTTGCTCATTTTCTGTTTTAATGTGTATAAACTGAAACATTTCTTTATTTTAAGAACAGAACTCTTAACGAACAGAATTATATTGCTTCCACTTATATTTTAAATATATTATTTAACTACAAACACACAACTGACAATGCTAGTTTTTGAATAATGATTAAACTTTCATAATTATTTATTACAACTTGATGCAGAGGTGGAACTTTAAAATTTATTTTGATGAAAGAGAGTTTAAATGATCGTATTATAATGTTATATTGAAAACAATTAATTCTTGACATATAAATAATTGTACAAAGAATTAATACCTTACCTCTGTGTTGATAGTGGTGTTTACTTCATTTGTAATATCTGCCTTTATTCTAATTTGTTTAGAATTGGTATATTCATTGACAACTACTAAAATTAAAAATTTCTAAATATTTTGTAGTAAGCATAAAAAACATTTCCTACTGCTAACAAAAAGACATGATAGTAATACCTGATGGTTCATCGTTTGATGAATTTTGTTCTTCTTTTGCCTCATTTTTTATAGAAAGAGTATCATCACATTTATCAGTATCGTTAATCGCATCTAATACAATGATGTTAAAATGTTCAGAATTTTCTTCATTTGTGTCCTTAGGTTCTAATTTCATTCTTTTTGCTGCACCAACATGTCCTTTTTCTGTTTTAATACCCATAACAGAGCCCATAAACTGAAACATTTCCTTATTTTAAGAAGTGAACTTTTAACGAACGGAATTATTTTTTTCACTGATATTGTAAATATATTCCTTAATTACAACAATTAACAGGTCTTTGTTTATATTTAGTGTAAATCGTTAAAATTTAAATACTAAGCAAAAACAGAGAAAAAGGCGGGAGGCACGGGAGGCAAGTATTGGGTATTGGTCTTCTTCTATGGTAAGGACATATATAAATACACCTTTAAAGCGGATGGTATATGATTGTAGAAGGTTAGATCATATACACGCCCGTCTTAGAATATGATGTAGTGATTGAAAATAGGGAGGTACCAGAGAATAGCGAAGTACAAAATATCGATATAATGAATTGTCGATACATTTTTAAAATGATCGATTTAAGTTTAAGTCCTGTTTGAAATTATTAAAAGATTACAACGCTTGTTTTAAAAGTAATTGATACTAAATGCCTACTAATTCATGATGAATATAAATCGGCTATATCTAATGAGATTTATCTTATTATTTTATGAATTTACTAGTCATCTTGATCATATGTAGGATTTCATGCATGCATTGTAACGATATGAATGGATTTTACTCCCAGGTTTCAATGTACATAATGGTTTAACAGAATTAATGCACACACAATATTTTCTTATCCACACAATCTAGAGCTCAAGAAATCCAATATCGTTAAAGGCGGCTACAGTCGTTCATGCATACTTGACAAGTGCACTTGTGCAAGCTTACTTGTACAAGTTTGCATTGACTCCACACACTACAAGCGCACTTGAATAGTTTTAGTCTGGTTTTAGTAGCTAAAAATGGACGAAGAAGACGCGCTAGCTCTTGCAATGTTCGTTATTCTGCTTAAACAAAACGAAAAAAAGAAAACCCGTCGATTTTGGTGCAAAAACTGGCTTCTAAAGAGGAATATATATATCTCTTTGCATACTAATATTTTAAACGAATTAAAAGTTTTACCCTGCTGATTGGCATAATTATTCACGAATGAATAAAGAAACACATTTTAAACTGTTATCACTCATGGTTACCCCTTTTATTAAAAAGAAATTGTTCTTAAACCGTTTATTTTTTTTACAACCGGATCGCGGTTTTATCAATTTCTTGCGATTTTGTAATTAAACTGTTATATGCAGCCTCTCTTTTGTTTTTATTATGATAGTCCTTTGATTTTACTTTCCATAAACAAAGAGATTCTCTATAAACACTAATGAACTCCACCAATACCTCGCGCATATTTTTTTCATGTTCACCAGCCATTTTTATCTATCTTCTAGTACAAACAAGTAATAATCAAGCAATAAACTCATAATAAACCTACTAGAATCAACTTCAGGCTTGCCCAAGTCACTGGGGCATGAAGAAAATTCGTACAAGTCTATGCCACTTGCACAAGTCGAAATACTTGTACAAGTTTGTTCCTACACACGTCCAATATTCTTATACAAAAACGCTTGCACAAGTATACTTGTCAAGTATGCATGAACGTCTGTAGCCGCCTTAATATATTGATTCAAACAACATTGCAACATTGCTGTTATCAGTAAGAACTTTTTATATGTACATATTTTCTTATTTAAACAAGTATAGACGTAAGTGTTTATCGTAATCTTGTTTTCTTTTAAGCAAAGAACTAGTTGATATTTCTTCTTAAAATATATGAAGATTGCGTTTGGCAATGTTTTTTCTTCTAGTTTTGATTTAATACAGTCATCAAGGATGTTTAAATTTAATTGTTGACAAAATGGTGAAGGTGTCTATTCAAATATAGAGATAAAAAATAAAAATAAAATTGCAAATCATGGGATTGTTAAACTTTTAAGGTATCATTTTTGCATTTCAGCATCAAATTACACAATTTTGCCTCCATTTAACCGAACTCCCAGCTCTTCTAGTATGTTTGACGAACGATTTTTTGCTAATTGAGATTAATATCTATACAGTTATACAGCGACTGTGGTTCATCCTGTATAAAGAACTATTTCTGTAAAGCTGACCACTCACGATCGAACGCGGCGGTATGATTATGTTGGATACGACAAAATCGGACGACACGACGTCGGACAATATTGTGTGTCGTGTGTGTACAGGGTGTCCTACTAAGAATAGCTCTCGGTTATATCTCGAAAAGTATTAGCCGTAGATGAACCTACGGAAAAAATATTTGTAACTAAAGAAGCTATGATAAATTGCTGGATATTGGCTACATAAGCCTAGATAACGGGTACTACAAATAATAGCATCATAATCTTTAGTAAATTCTGAATTTTTTTTGTTAGAACCATTTTCCCCTATCTGCTAAAATAAAGTAGCGAGGGAAGGTTTAGATCGGTTTTTATTTAAATATTAATAAGTCTGGACTTAATCAGAATCCAACAAACGAGGGCTTGTTTAAAAGAGGGTTCCTTACCCTATATTATACCAAATAAGTAATAATAATAATAAACTTTTGAACGTAGATGCTAGGGGGCGCTGTTTTACAATTTAACAAACATTGTGTGTTCTTTCAAAAAAATTGAATACAATAGTATATGTAATTTTAGCTGATAGTAAAGAATAATAAAAGTTTAAAAAGTCAGCGAAAACCAGCATCTTGATATTTTCTTTCAAACCGAAGATATTAGCAAAATTTTTATAAATACGAATAAATAAATAAATTACCTTATTTTTATAATACGGTATCAGAGTAGCCTTCATGATTATGCCAATAGGAAACTTGGCCAAATAATAAAATCATTTAAAAAATATTATAAAATCGAAAGATATTATCATAAGGAACTTCCTAGAAAAAGAAAAATTCCAATAACAATTAAATTACCTGAGAAATAAAGGTTTAAAATTTGAATAATTTTACTTGCTTTTAAAACGCGCCGCCATTGGTTGTGACGTCAGACCGTTGTAGTTTGATCCGGTGACCGTAAAACAAAACGTAAAATAATCTACTAAATTTCACAACTTGACATAACTTCACTAAGAAGTCTTAGGTATTAAAAACTGATAACAACAACTATATTAAGTATTTAGAACACTGTTTAGAATGAGCTCTATAAGCACCAGTAGCCAGTAGTCCAGTCTGATTTATTTTCATTTATACTATTTATACCTAATACCTACCCACATAGGTACAATTTTTTCGTCGCTTTGAGGACTGACACTTGTTTGTAATATTCCTGGTATAGTTGTGGTAGAACAGGAAGCTACTGCTTGGTCAACAAGTCTTCTCTGTACCCTCTTAACAGCTGCTGATCTTGGAGGAACTGAAAATGTTCTTTTTCTGTCTGGCTGGCAATCAAAAATGTGAGGAACTACATGAGATTTCATTATTTTTTTACCACCCATCAGTTTAAACCTTACAAAATTATCCATATCTTTGGCAATCTGAAACAAAAACATAACCTACAAACATAATCAAATATTTATTAAAATTATGGGTAGCTAAGTAATATTTTTACTAGATAGGTAGGTACCTATAGTACCTATATATAAAATTAGTGGATATTTTTTACAGTTAAGTAGTAGTAATGGAAGATTACAGCCTTACTGGTAAAGTAACAAGTTTACCTAACCCTAAACCCTAATATTTATATTTTAGGTATTTATACTTACATTGAAATGATCTTCACAAACGTGAATGTTCGTGCTCTTCGTAGAATAATCCCCTACATGTCTTCTACATGCTTTTAGCCATTTTATTCGTCGCTTTTTATCTTCAGGTACGCGAATGAAAATTTTATCTGGATTTTTCACAGTTGAACTCGTACAGAAAGGAACGATACAGTATTTATACCCAGTATTTCGAGTATTTTTCATAATAAATAAAAAAATGAACAATACACACTTAAAACTGAGGCTAACGATGCAAATTCGGCGAAAAATCAAGAGGAATAATGCGAATAATGCTTGAAATGGCTGTTGTTTTGGTAACGTGCCGGATAGTTTAGTCCGGTATGACGTCACAGCAGCTGCCGCGCATTTTGCTTTGTTTGAATGTGCCGGGCGGTGATTCCTTAAGTCCCGTTCTCAGAACTGCGTCGTGTCGCTGGCTACACAGTTTGACATTTCAAACAACCAATGGGAGCTGTACTAAATTTAAAATTGACAGCTGTTTGAATTTTGTACAAATCTGATTGGTTCTTTTGTCGTGTCGCTGGCGACAGTCGCAGTTCTGAGAACGGGGCTTTAAGCCCCGTTCTCAGAACTGCGTCGTGTCGGCAGCGACACTGATTGACACTTCAAACGACCAATGGGAGCTGTACTAAATTTAAAATTGACAGCTGTTTGAATTTTGTACAAATCTGATTGGTTCTTTTGTCGTGTCGCTGGCGACAGTCGCAGTTCTGAGAACGGGGCTTTAGCCTTAGGTGATTCCAACTTTAATTATTTATTGTGAAATAAGCATTGCGATTTAAGGGCTGATATTTGGTATAATATGTGTTTTTATATATAAACACAAATTTTAGTAAAATAAAAAAATAATGGGCAAGTTCCTAATAAAAATTGATAGAAAAGATCCAAGAAATGATGAGTTTATTTTAAAATCGACAATATACCAGAATACCATAATACTAGATTAATATCTAATATAATTAAGACGTTAATAACAGTGAAAAAGAAACTATGCTTCAGTGAAGTTATGGTAGGTTTTGGAAAAAAGTTGCTTTTGACGTAATAGTATAAACGTGAAATTGTTATTAGATCTAAACAAAGAAGTTCTTTATTTTTTGACTGATTTTTCAAAATTATTTTAGAAAGAAATATACGCAAAAACGAATTACCATCGGATAATGTTTTATTCTTTATATCTTTTATTTAAGTTTTCTTTTAGTTGATTATAATTTTAAATGGGTATAATATTAAAAAATATAAGTAGGTAGATATTTTGTAAGAAGGTCCGCAGGGATGTAAGCTGGACTACACTTTCTTAACTCTGTTCAATGTTTTGTATATTGGTTCCGCTTTACTACCTCCTAGGCTCTACATTATATATTTTGATTTATATAGCAATAACCCACTGGGTACACTTTAATTATCTCTCAGCCTAGAAATTCAAACAATAATTTAAAGCCATATTGCTTATTCTTCAGAAAATTATTGATGTATAGGTAATAAAATTTATTTTCCTTTTTATTCTTGGCTTTAGGTCGTTGGGGTTGCAAAGATGTTACTGGATTTTGTTCATTATTTTATTTTTATGACGACGTTTGGACAGTATAATATGTCTTTTTCAAGTTTCTTTAAGTACATAAAAAACAGTCAGTTAAAATCATTGCCTGGAAACTTATATGGTGAAATTTTGATAAAATAATTTAGTACTCACTAAAAACATGGTATGTCGCTAGTGGTAGGAAAAATCATTTTTAGAGGTTACTAGTTTATTTGGTTGATATGCATGATATGCATATACGATGTATATGCATATATATGATATGCATGATATGCATATACAGGGTGTTTCCTAATTAATCTAAAAAATAAAAAATCGTTAGAAAACGACTTAAGGAGGGCTCTTAATAAGTATATTTATTTTTTTCTCGGCAACTGTTTGATGAACAAGAAGAACTCAAAAGATCAATTTTGTTGAAAAAGATTGGCCTGTCAAGGAAAAAATATATTTTCTTTAAAAAAGCAGTAGCGTACCATTTATTTTAAGCAAAATATCGATTTTTTTTAATTTTTAACACCCAGTAGATCAGAAATTAAGTACTTTGGACCCAATGGTTATATAAAAATTGTTTTAAGAACACATGAGGAATCACACCACAATTTTTTAGACTAATTAGAAAACACCCTGTATATTGTCAACTTGACAATGATTGTTGATAAATCAAAAAATACCTTTTCTGTGAAAAAAACCCGATTTTCGCAGGAAAAATTTTGGTTTTAATTGAATTTGGGCCTGCGTCTGCAAATACCGGTATGTTTTTTAATATTCTATCTATCTAAATTTTAAATATCATAGTCAGAAATAGTTTTATTATTTATTAACTGTAAAAATGGTATAGGTACTTATAAGTTTTATCAAATATTGTGATTTACTTTCTACCTCGTAGTCAAAAATTTATATTTAATAAACTGTAAAATATATATATTCTTATGCTTTATTAAAGTTACTCTGATATACTAATATATCAGTGTAACTTTAAAACTAAATCCTTTGAAATCAAATATAAATATAAAAAATATTTACAGCAGGAAAGGCGAAGGCGCTGTGTTAAACCTAGTCTCTACTAAGAACAGTTGAGGGGCGCTTTGACCCAAAATTTTCTCTATTAAGTTTGCATATCTATCTTAATCTTTGAATAAGAAGACTAAGGAAGGAGCATATCAAAATCTTAATTATTCCTTTGGGCCTCCAATATGGCCGACTTAAATTCCGGTTTATCAGTGTCGTTCTAATTTTATTTAAAAAATGTAAACCTATATAATGTTAGACTCAAGAATTTGTTGTTTTATTTTACGTTGTGAATAAATGTTGGTAGTTGTTAAAATTGTTATAAAATATATTAATGCTGGAACGTTAGTAATGAAAACAGATACAATTATAATAAGTATTTATTAACACAAACATCCGATCACGCTATCGAAGCAGGTAAATTCAAATTAACGTATCTAAATTCTTTGACATCTAATCTTTGACAATTATTAAATAAAAAGCTAAAAAAAGCAACGCAAGTATATAAATTTAGTTAATTTAATCGAATATCATAAATGATCGGTTTATAACACGTATGTATATTATATAGTCACCACTCGATATGCTTTCAGGTACCATCTACCGCACGCTACACAACCAACTGTTTTACTTTTCGATCCGTCGTATAGTGTCACTGTTAATTTAAGAACAATCCAACGCCATCTAGATTTACTACCTTTGGTACAGCTATCAGTAGTAGAATAAATAATAAATAACATAAAATAAGCTTACAATGTACTGACAAATACACAAATAATTCAAATCAAATTCAAATGTGTCAAATGAATCGTCAAACAGAACTATCATTAAGATCCCATGGTGGCTTTTCCGCCCACCATGCATGAATACATGGATAGCATTATGCTCCTTCCTTAGTCTTCTTATTCAAAGATCTTAATAGAAGATTATTTTCTTTTATCTATGGTTAAAATCAAAAAATAAAATGTCAAATTAAAAGGTCTTACCCAGAGAATAGGTACATTAAGTCTTACCATGGAAACTTAAATGGAAATGACGGTTCATTAAAAATAGTTTTTCCTCCAAGATGCAGAGGCGCAAAATATTAAAACTGTCAATATTAACAACGAAAATGTCAATATCTGACAATAATAAAATTTGATTTTTAACTGTCACCAGAATACGTTACCATGTTTAAGATTTTACCGGTTTGATTTCGTTTTGATTTGTCGAATTATTGTAAAATTAAATTCCTTCAGAGTTTTAGCCAGTATTCTGTTTTAGATAATGTTTTTTAAAAATGGTGGGACAATTTGTGTTTTGTATAGACTCTTAATTATTTTTTATCATGGAGTTTAATTGTTGTACACCTGGTTTCCGAAGGATACAATGGTACAATATACTTTCCGAAGGATACAATGGTATAAATAAATACAAGTAAATTAAACATATCTACTTACAGTTATAGATTTTTTAAATTAGTACTGCTAATAAATGCTACTTGCTGAGCAGTTATTTAATTTTTTTTACGGTGCATGTAAGGAATTAAGGACGCGCTAACATGTTATATTAAAAATCAGCAGATGATTACATCTAATTTGTTTGTTTTTATTATTTCAGGTCTCAAATGGAAACAAATCAGGAATCTTGCCTACACCAAAAATTATATAGCCGTTTCCAATTCACTTCAAAGGGAGGAAAATTATGTAAAACTGGCTTCTATTTACAAAAATTGCCAAAAATTAAATTATAACTGTAACAACTTAATATATATATCTATTTCTAGTCTTTTTTAAAGCCTATTTTTTAATGAATATTATACATATAACGAGAACACTTTGTATAGCTTTTAATTCTTGATTTATCGTTTATAATATGTTCGACCTAATTAAAAGTGTAACAAAAACTAAATTCTTTACATCAAATATAAATTTAAAAAAATTTACTAAAACAACCCCCCTTCCCCGCACCCCTCTCTTCCATTAGTATTTCTTCCTCCGACTACCAGAGGCGCCCATGTATAATAAAATTGAAATGTATTATAAGTTGCCTATCTATTTAATAGTATAAGTCTTTTATCTATGGGTCTTACCTTGCACATAAATTCAAGGTAATAATTTAAAGATTTCCAAAAAATTGTATAATTTCAGCCAAAATTTCACAAAAATTATTAAATTTTTGTTGAACCGAAAACATTCAAAACCGAAAAGAATACTTTTTGTAATATGGAAACTCATCTTTCTTATTTATTGTTCGTGAGTTTTTGGCATTACAAAATATTCTTAACAATAGTGAGTTTACAATTTATATTAATATGTTTTTTCTTCATTTTATACAGGAGTCTCCCGTTTTAAGAAAAATTATGTACAACGGGCAGGTGCTTGGTATCAGAAATGAAATTAAAGGAATTGCTGGATAATGAAAGGCGTAACCTGAAGAGGGATTTGCATCACGAAGAGGTATGGCCTAGTTGAATCACATATTGTTGAATTGACTGAAGAAGAACTTAAAGAATTGGAACATAAGTATGAAAAGAAATGAAGTCCTGGCACCACCGTCCTTACGTCCCTACTCGCGTCCCTATGGGAGTGAAACCTGGGTGCCGTACCCCCGACACATGAACGCATTAAACAAGTTGCAACACGGACACCTTAGACAACTCTTAAGAATTCGGTGGTTCCATCATATCTCAAACATATCGGTCCTTGAAAAAGCTAACTGCGAGAGTATTGAAGTCATGGCTACAAAATCCCGCTTAAGATGGGCTGGTCACGTTTGCAGAATGCAAGAAAACCGCATACCAAAATCTCTGCTTTACGGTGAGCTTGTAGACGGTAAGAGGAGGCCGGGTGGACAACTGAAAAGGTACAAGGACATTT